TCCGGCCCACCATCTACCACCACGGAGGGCTTTCTTCTCACAATCTGTGAGGACACCCTGGTTTTCCCCAGCTCCAAGGAGAACGACCTCCGTTCTTCTCTGTCCCCTCACTGTGGGCCGGACCCTCAGTGTCCTCTCCACTTTCAGATGAAGGGTCAGAGGAACTCCAATAAATGCTGGACTCCAGAGAGCATTCAGTGTCAGACCCCCCCTCGAACCTTGTGTCTTCTTCAGATGAGTCCTGCAGCTCGCTGGCAGAAGAAGGCTGCAAGATTATTTCTGAAGTCTCCTCTGCACTGACATGCTTCTTCATTTGAGTTCCTTCTCTTTGCTCCAGGTCTTTCTCCTTCTCTGCTCACTAATGAAATAAGCCCTTGGTCAAACTGCATGTTTATCTTTGGCAGCCAGGTGCATAAACACACTAACAGTTGTTTTTGAGTAATCAAGCAGCTCTTCAAAGACACATCAAACACATCCCTCAAAAGATGGCCTTTTGTTCCCATGAAATGATCTGTGCATGCTTACAGATTCTCACACACACACACACACACACACACACACACACACACACACACGGAGAGGGAGGAGAGGTGTGTGCTGGTTGTGCACAGGCCTACAAAATTGTTGTTCTATCACCTGAGAGAGCACCACATGTATACAGGACCTGCTGGTCTGCTGCAGGACCTGCTGGTCTGCTGCTGGAAATGACACACACACACACGCACACGCACACGCACATACATACATACATACATACATACATACACCACTCTCGGGCCCCCCTGGTAGTCACACGGCTCCATAATATAACTGGCAAAAATGTAAGAATTTCATGCATCGGCCTACAGTGGGAAAATGGTTTAATCTGTTGGAATAGAGTAGAAATATCAAATATCACTACTTTTCTTCTAAATGAAATGCTGACATTACAAAATGCATGGTTTTATACTGCAATGGCAGTGAGATCAACAAATGTGGTCTGAATGGAAGTCAATGAGGCATTTTTGAGAGAAATTAAATAATTAAAATAATGAAACAGGCGTTTAAAGGGTTAAAATCCTGACAATGATTGAATGTTTGGTAGTTCTGAGTACGTTAGAAGTTGTTTATGTGATTCATGAAACAAAAAGTAGAAAGAAATATTGATGTATGATTTAATAGCAGTTATTATGGGCGTGTACATTTTTGCCACGAAGGGGTCCAGAGGTAGTATCTGATACTACGTAAAAAATAATAATGCAGTCAAATCAATTTTGTTGCTAATCTTTGACACATCCAAGACTCTAATAACCACCAAAGTTCCATCCCTCTACTAATTATTATATTGAAAAATAATTATGTTTTGTGTTTTTTCGTAAGAAAAAATGAAATAATTCAAATAATTAAACAGGCATTTAAAGGGTTAAAATCCTGCCAATGATTGAATGTTTAGTAGTTTTGAGTACGTTAGAAGTTGTATATGTGATTCAGGAAAAAAAAAGTAGAAAGAAATATTGATGTATGATGATTTAATAGCAGTTATTATGGGCGTGTACATTTTTGCCACGAAGGGGTCCAGAGGTAGTATCTGACACTACGTAAAAAATAATAATGCAGTGAAATCAATTTTATTGCTAATCTTTGACACATCCAAGACTCTAATAACCACCAAAGTTCCATCCCTCTACTAATTATTATATTGCAAAAAATTCGTTTTTTGTCATAAATAATGAAATAATTCAAATAATGAAACAGGCATTTAAAGGGTTAAAATCCTGAAAATTATTGAATGTTTGGTAGTTTTGAGTACGTTATAAGTTGTTTAAGTGATTCATGAAAAAAAAAGTAGAAAGAAATGTTGATGTATGATGATTTAATAGCAGTTATTATGGGCGTGTTCATTTTTGCCACGAAGGGGTCGAAAGGTTGAAAATTCGAGGAGGGCACAAGGGTTAAATAAACACTTTGTCATACAATTTAAATTTTATGTTTTTTAGCGTTACCTGGTGATTTCAAAGAAAGCTCTCTGGGAAATGTTGACGTACTTTTCGACATGAAGCTAGGAGATACATTACAGTAGGCTACACAGTTGATCCTGAGTCCTGTCAGTTAAAGTGTTTCATAGTTAGCTTAGCTAAGCATCAACCTAGCACTGAAATATATGGATGTTATGTGACAGTATTTCTGAGAAAAAGTCAGCTGAAATGGTGGCATGGTTGCCACTGCTTTACGTGTCGACAGTTTGTTTGAACGTATTTGCAGCAGTAAATGTGGCTGTTTGGCCACTGACGTTGCCATAACAACACATGAATTGAAATGTGCAACCTCTTTTTGTGACAGATTTTTGCATGAAATTATAATTCTTCTGAATGATATTCCTATTGACAGCTAGTTTCTATGTGAACATTATGAGATGGACAGCCAGAGAGAATACATGAAAAACAGTTATGAAATACTGTATGACAGTAAAACAAGAATACAGTTTAAAAGGGGAGTGATTTGTAAAATATAAGAAAAAGAACATCTGTTTACAGTTCTGTTTCATATGGGTGTTGAGAGATGTATCCATAGATCTCTTAATTTTGCTCTCAAAGTGCACCAGATTGATGCTTTTAACTTCAATATTTAAAAAAAATCTTCCCGGGGTAGCATGCCCCAGGACCCCACTAGAGAAGGTGAAGTCCGCCCCCCGCTTAGAAAAAATAGCACTTTACCCCTGCTTACACCTGAGTTGATTATCAAGCCTTCATTGTAAGAGTAGAGGGTGTACTGTGTATTAAAGTAAACAGATATGGTTCTAAACTGTATTGAAGTAAACATGTATTATTTTGAATTGTATTTTAGTGAACATGTATTGTTTGAACTGTTTTAAGTAATCCCATATATAGATATTGTCTTCTCACTTACAACTCACTGACCCAGAGATCCTGTTACACACACATACACCTCCTCCCACCAGCACACACACATATTCTTTTCAAGGTTCTTTCTGGGCATCAATATATCTGTGTACAATGTTTGGTTGTCTGGGAAAGAATAGTTTGTGTGAAATATTCCTTGGGAAAGTAAAGGAGTGAATATCGGTGCAGAGATAAGATTTACTCTGTTCTTGTGTACTTCCGAATCTCACGCTCTGCTCAGAAGAAAACATACTTTTTCTCAGAACTCTGATTCGCTGTATTGGACCCGACCAGAAGTGAATCCAACCAGTAAAAACACCTGGGAGAGTGAGCAGCTCACACAGCTCCTCCCCACGGACTCTCTGATTCGCTTCGGAGTAAAATGGGAAGGAAGAAGTCAACACATCTCCGCCCCAAAATATGAATATGAATACTGTTGTTTTTGCATGTAAAATGCTTCCTGTTTTCTGACTGGCTGGTCCCGATACCTGTATCGCACAGCAGTGGAAATTGAAAGTCCGGAGTACTCTGTAAACTTGTATACGTGTTTTGTTTCTTACCAGTAAAATCAGATTATTGTTATAACCTTTATTCCGGTGTTTTGAATTTCTTCTTTATTAAATATAACCAGCCTCATCTAACGAACGGCGCGTAGCGGAGGGGGGCTTTAAGCCACCATCCAAAAGTGTTTGCTACAACAGTATGTGTGTGTGGGGAGTGTTGCAGTAGAAAATTCCACTGTAGCGCCGCGGCCGCCACCACTGTGGGCTAAGCCCCGAATGTTTCCAGGTCCAGGCGACGCCCCTGGGGCTGTGTATGTGGGCGATGGCTTCATTGTCCACTTGGCACCAACCTGTGAGTCCCCCCCCCCAGGTAGTATGAGAAAAATAAAGAGCTTTTTGAACATTAAAACATGGAGACATGTCACAGGAGAGACACAAAACACACAAATCAAACCTCAAAACGAGCATACTAGGGCCCCTTTAAGTCATGCCAGTATGTTGTTGTCCGTTTGGAGCTTAATGCTAGCTTTTTCCTTCTGCTGATTGCAATACGCTTAAAAAATTCATAACAGCGCTGTTAATATATGAATTTATCCTGGAGTTATCCTCACAAAATCTAATGGAACAAACCCATTGACTCTTTGTCGAGTTTGGCACACATGTGACTCTGTAAGAGAAGCGCTGAGTTTCCTCTGCAGATGGACGGAGGAAGAGGAAGAGGAGTAGGTTACCTCCCTCTACTCTCGTCTTCCTTTCCCTTGTACAGTTTTGGCTCAGAGAAATCTCAAGGGGATATGATGCATGTGCTTTCATCCTTCTCCCACACAAAACAGCATCTATCACATCACAATTGAATCCTCGATGGCCTATTTTCTATTCAGGTTTTATGGAGGAGGAAGATGACAACCAGTGTGGCTAAATGATGGAGCTCTATGGCACTGAGGAGGAAGATATAATATTAAGTTGAACAAATAAGTTAGGATCAATTCAGCAATGGTTTTGGAAATATTAACTACCACCAAATTAGCCTTTAAACAAATGAAGGGTCGCCAGTTCAAGTCCCGATCGGACCAAAAAACGACAAAGTGTAGCTGATGTGCAAGTTCACCTTCTGGGCCAAGGTGTCCTTGAGCAAGGTACTGAACCCCTGACTGCTCCATTGTTCTGCACAACCTGGCAGCCTTTTCGCTCTTGCACCTCTCTATAAATGCATGTGTTTGTACATATGTGTTCAAATGTTATCTGGATAGGTCCTATGCATGTGTGTGTGTATACAATAACAGAGTTGAAAACTGAATTATTAATAAATAATAATCATTTTTCTTTCTTTTTCTTCTCTTAAAGAAGACAATTGTTGGGAACTTCGCTCTCTGGGCGTCATGAATATCTGTTCAAAATGTTGTGCCAACCCATCTATATGTTGAGATGTTAAGATCTCAACCAAAGTGATTGACGACTGACCGACAGACTGACAATGCAACTATAGCATGGCTAAAACCACGTGACTCCAATGTTACCAGTTACCAAATTAAAACTGTTTAGTTAAAAGTTATTTGGAAAATCCATGCATCCTGGAGAAATAAAACCAATTGCCAAGAAGAAGAAGTCCAGGAGAACGTCAAATATTAAGAGGGAAAACTTTATTGAGGTTTTTCAGATCAAGTGTAAGAACATGAAAAGAGAGAGGAAGGCACAGCCACAATTATAGCCAGACACTCTTTCATTGCGTTTACACACCATCCATTTCATCATAACAAACATGTGCTTTTCACGTATTGTAGTATTGTAGTTGTGCAGAATTAGTCATAGCTGGAATAAATGTATCTATGACTATATTTGTATGTATTCATGTGCATTTGAGTGCATAGTAGCTTACCTTCAACCTCCTTTTCACTACTTTTAACAGAACGGATGATTATTCTCACTCAGAAGTCTCCTTAAGTTGATGATTCAATCTCAACGCTCCTTTGATTTGTTTCCAAATATAATTGAAAACCTTACACTGCCAATCAGAGTGGATTACAGTCTTTATGGAAAACCTTCCACTACTGACTACTTCCTGTAGATGCGTCTGTCTATAAACAGATTGTGTCTTCCTGCACACCAAAGAGAAGGAAATAAATCTGGCAAGTAGCATACAGGCAACATGTTAGATCTATTCCTTTCTTTTAAACCCTCAGGACACTTTTTCACTTGGTTACTATGTTTCTTTTAAGTATTCAGCGACATAAAAGCCTTATATACAGCAGAATAATGTAAATTAGTAACATCCCTTTATCTAGTTTGAGTTGTGCTTAATAGTTTAAAAGAGAGTAGGAGATGAAAGTAGCGTATAGAGCAAGCAGGAAATGTAACAAGAGAAGGTTAGTAAGTGATGATTTATAGCATTCAGTATGTTTGTTTACACCAGTAGTCACCACAGTTAGGCACAACATTTCCCAGCGTGTGTAAATTTGATAGGAAGTGAAACCACATTATGATTTATTCATTACACAACATCAGTACATCCACATGTCCAGTTAAAAAGCCCAGTAGGAAGAGATAATAATAATGGAGAAAGAAAATAAAACACCTGCAGTGCTTTGGTGCCATGACTTCCAGTTTAACACATCCATCCATCCAGACCAATTCACGATTACACACACAGGCACACGTATGCAAAACAAAAAAGCTACCTACAGTATTTATCAATAGTTTGAAGCATTGTGTCAGGTAGAGTGGAGGTCCAGCTTTGTGTTCTCAGTATTCCCAGAGGGTGGCGCTGTCCAGGGAGTCGGCGCTGGCCTTCAGCCCTCCAGCGTGGTCTCCCTTCAGGTACTTCCCCCCCAGAGCACGGATGGCCATCTTGTTGAGGTCACAGAACTCAAACAGGAACTGGACGGGTGTGGAGCCGCTGCATCCCACCGCCGTGTCCTCTCCAACACACCAATACTTCCCCTGGGAGTCTGGAGGGAGGGAGGGAACACACACACACACACACACACACACACACACACACACACACACACACACACACACACACACACACACACACACACACACACACACACACACACACACACACACACACACACACACACACACACACACACACACACACACACACACACACACACACACACACACAACACACACACACACACACACACACACACACACACACACACACACACACACACACACACACTATAAAGCACCGGATGATGTGTATACCAAGGGAAAACGTCTGTGGCTGAACAGTGAAGCCCATGTGGAAGTAACAGAAACTGCAGTTCATTGAACGTCCACTTGAGGCTCATTCCAAAAGCAAGTCAATCCCCATAGTCCCCCCTTTAAAGCAAATGTATTTAACTACCGTTCAAGTTACCAAGTTATGCAAGCCTTAACATAGAAAGAAAGCAAGAAAGAATAGCTAAGTTGTTTATTATTTTATTGGAGTTTTGTTTGATTTGTTTTTGACTATTGTAAAGGCCTGTTTTCTTGTAGAAAAAGTTATTTATTTTGAGCATTGCACAATATCATCCCACCATCGGAGGACAAGCAGCTCATCAGCTGTGAGTAACAAAAATATAAAGGAAAGAAAACGAGTTAGAAATGTCTGTTTAAGGCGTCTATTGGCTTGATAGAAAATCTAGCTAAAGTTAGTTAACCCTAACCCTTAAGAGCTTGGTAAAAAAAAAAACGTTTTGGTCGATATAGCTAGAATCACCTTTTCACACCTGTGCAACGACATCTACATGCCTCATTTCCCTTTTTACATTATGTTATCACTGTATCATCATGGAGGAAAAGGATAACAGATATTTCATCAGCACTAAGTAGGTTTGATGGCTGAAATGATGAAAGGTTTTTGATGTAAGGTGGTTGTGGAGCCATGTAGCCGTGACGTTATTCCCATTAGATCTCTAAACATTGACTGTGTCTAGAGCAAAGTGGAGTTTTATAGACCTGTGATGTACCCGCACTGAGACGAGGAAATAGGAGCGTGGTGCCCAGGGTAATGTGAATCTGTTAAAGTTTGTGCATTGTTTTGCAATTCTTGAATGTTTGATTTTCCCATCTAACTTAATTGTACTATTGACCAAAAAGGGAAGAATAAATATTACCTCATTGATTGCTCTGTTATTCCCATGTACAAGAATCAAAATAGACACCAAAGGGCAAACCGTTGTAATTTTTTACAAACAGAAACATCCATCATCAGGATGCATGTTATTTTCACATAGTTTTCTACACATTGTTTTTTTTTAAATCATGTGTCTTGTTGAAGATATGTAAAACATGCAGGAACAGCACAACAGTTCTGTTATCCGCTTACCTTTAAGAGCATAAGCTCCGTTGTGAAACTCCAGCTGGAAAACGTCGTAAGATGCTCTGTTGGAGTCCAGGGTCGCCATCCCTGCTTTACGCGCCCCGATGAACCCGTGCTCCCCACGAAGGACGATGATTGGACGGTTGATCAGCTTCATCAGGAACTGTTCAGCCTCACCTTAAGAGAGCAGGATTTTGATAAACCAACTCTTTCCCCAAAGCATCTTAAACGTCACCTATTATGCAAAATCCACTTTTTCATGTCTTTTATATACAGGGTTCCTGCAGGTTTCGCCAACTCAAATGTAAGACTTTTTAAGACCTTTTTAAGACCACTTTGAATAGAATTTAAGACCTATTTCACGGCAAGAAAGTATGAAGGAAAATTGCTATGAAAGAAGAAATACGTCCTATAATTACTTACAAAGTAAATATATTCACGTTCAACATAACAATGACTGAACATAACAGTACACAGTTAGCGTGTTAGCCAAAAGTGTGTGTGTGTGTGTGTGTGTGTGTGTGTGTGTGTGCGCGTGCGTGCGTGCGTGCGTGTGTGTGCGTGCGTGTGTGTGTGTTAGGGCTGTGCAATTAATCGTTTTTTAATCGCAATTACGATTTTGGCCTGCCACAATTACAAAAACATCATCGAAAAAAACTATTATTTTGCTTTGCTAGGTTGTGACAGTGCACTACAACATATTTGATCTAATTAATTTGAGTCTAATTTATTTTTATTTATCATATTTATATATGTTTAGTAGCTTGTGGAAGTGCGCTCCAAAATATTTGTTGATCTTGTTTATTGGTATTTATTATTTTGGTATCATTTATTTAATTTATTTGTGTATTGGTTTTTTAGTTGAATTATACGTTCAGGGTAATCAACAGTTAAAAAGAGACTGTTCAAATTATTATTTGTTTAAAAGGGTTAGGGTTAGGGTTAAAATGGATGTCAAAGTCAATGAATAATCGTATTTAATAATCGTGATATCAATTATTGACCAAAATGATCGTGATTATGATTTTTGCCATAATCGAGCAGCCCTAGTGTGTGTGTGTGTGTGTGTGTGTGTGTGTGTGTGTGTGTGTGTGTGTGTGTGTGTGTGTGTGTGTGTGTGTGGTCATTAGTCAAATTAGTGTGTGTGAGAGAGAGTGTGACAAGAGCTATATTCAGAGCTCTGCTGCCTTGGCTACAATATTTCATTGTTGCTGCTTTTAGGGTTGACGTAGACCCAAACGTCACCCGGAGGTCCCCCGATGTTGCGGGAGCTGCTGCACTAGCTAACGCTGCACTAGCTAACGCTACATTAGCAAAACAAACGCTAATTTATTTTGCAAAAGGTGCAGCGGGCTTCACACACGTTCCCCTCCACTGGTTTCAACCAAGCACTAAATTCGATGTTTTCCAACCAAATACGGTTGAACTTACACTTCCCCATATTTATTTGTAAGTAGATTCGAAGATACCTGAGTTTCTGACTGCCGCTAGCTGAAGCTTGGTTGCTAGGTTACTAGCTGGGTGTTCACCGATAAGGGGCCGGGGGATGCAAAGTTAGTGATTACTGGTTCCATGTTGATTTATTTCAATACAGATTGTTGGGTGGAACTGGTTACTTTCCAGCCCGGACATTTCCCCCAAAACACATTTAGACGCTATCGCAACACAGAAGTATCTTTCAAATCCCATCATTTTTAAGACCTTCTTAATTATATTTAAGACTTTTCAAATTATTTTGATCATATTTAAGACCTTTTTAAGGCCTTCAATTCTGATTATCAAATGTAAGACTTTTTAAGACTTTTTAAGACCCCGCGGGAACCCTGTATATATAAACATGTGTCCCCTCTGTGTAAAGAGATTCTGAAAGTTTCAGGAACAAAGATTTGCTCACTTTTTGTCCTGATCCATTTATACAAAAACCTGTCTGAAAATGAGCTGATCAGATTTTGGCCACTTTATGATGTCATAACGATTTTTTGGCTTGTGTAACCATTAGCCAATAACCAACCAAGGCAACCTGAAAAACAGTATAATAGGGGGCCTTTAATGAGAGGATGATCGTAGCTTATTGACAGGATCGTCACTGACCTGTGGTGTCGACAGTAGCAGCTAAGTGCCCGTTCCTCTTGGCAATCACATATTTGTTGTTGGCTGCACGCACACACACACGACCGTCACGCCACTCCAGCTCAAAGTAACTGTCGGCCGACCTGTGACACACACATTAACAAACTCAATGAGCAAACTATGAGGAATATGCAAATGAGGTGCGTGACATTTAACATGACCCAGTGTGTGTTTATGTGTGTGTGGTTACTTGGTGGATGCCGTGCACTGCAGGCCCCCAGATGCTGTCAGAGTCCAGTATTTTCCAGCAGCGGTTCTGAAGGCACACTTCCTGTCCTCACGGCTCATCTCCAACTGGAACACTTCCTGATCTCCTTCCTCGTCCTGATTGGCTGACAGGTCAATGCCTAGAAAAGTGGGACAAGCTGTTGTCAGTTTTCATTCAGTCTGAAACTCTGAATCCCTCCTATTCATGAGGTTGACTCTGAAAGGGACACAACGTCCTACTCTCTGTGCCCAGTTTTAAAAGGGTTGTTTCACAGATTTGTTGCAGCCTACAGCGGGATGAGCCAGTCCTGAAAGTGACTTTGTTAAGTGAGGAAGGTGATGGGGAAAATCATAGTGGAACAACAACAAAGCAAGTGTTTCCAAATATGAAAAGAATAGATTTGCAAATATCAGTCAAAAAGTCTTGTTACTGCATTATGTTGTAATGAGGACAGAGTGGACACATATCTCCGCTTCTCTCATGGTGAATATCTAGACTAGAAACACGAGACTTTAATTAAAACAACACATACTGTAAGTCCCAAAATGAGGAGTTCAGACTCCCTTAAAGCTGGCTACACACCAACCCGATTTTGGGAGTCAATGGCCGTCAGAGGCAGTCGGGCATTCGCGGCGCCCTACTCAGGTTGGTGTGTCCCGCACCGTCGTCTCTTTATGGCACCTTTTCACACCTCCCGATGCCTCCCGCGGCCGATTCAACATGTTGAATCGGCCGCGGGAGGTCAGAGAAAGTCGGCCCAAGCAATCACTCTGATTGGCTGTTCACACTACCGCTGCCTGCTGGTAAGGACAGTTATTGCCATTCGTCGACTGAAGTATTTGCGGTGTGTTCGTAGGCGGGCGGCGTAGCCGATGCAGGCGACGTAGCTGACGTAAAAGTCGGGACGCCTTCAGTACGCGTTCTTTGGTCTCAGGTGGGTGTGTAGCGGCCTTAAGACTGAACATCCAGTCATAACTGAGAACTACTTGCAGTAGTTATAATACTGAGACTATGTCCCAGTTATAACTGAGACTATGGCAATGTCTCAGTTATGTCACTCTAACCTAGTCTCCGTTATGTAACAGAAGCTAAGTGGCAGTTATAGTTAATTTACTGAGGTTAGGTTTCAGTTATGTAAGAGCACTCGAGCATTATTTATTGATTTTTAACCATTTGGGAGCAGAACAAGCTGTGAACACACTGACATTATTTGAAAGAGATGTGGTGGACATGGACAGCAAACAGTTGCATCCATTACGAGTCTTGTTTCTGGCCTACTTATGAATCCAAGTCTAAAATCACCACTCAAAGCTTTTTATGGATTTCATACCTGCTCTTTGACTAACTGTCTCCCCTTTCACCTGTAATGCGACCCCTTTGCTAACATAAAGCCAGCCATTTTTGCAGCTCTGAAAGTATTTTTTTCCCCAAACATAGACGTCACGTGACAGACATGCATCTTAACCATAGACAGTATATATAAGATTGTAACCTGCGAGTTGCTCAAAAAGATTTAAGGTGACTTATCTCAAATGACCCAGCTGGGAATCTCTCCACCATAGAGGAGTTCAGGAATAAAGCTCTTCATTTAGACTTGACACAAAAACCTATTTAACCATTGAAACACAGTCTAAAAAGTGTCCATTACGCCCCATTCCAGTTATTGGGCTATATTGATGCCGGTGGTCCATTAAAAATAATGTTTACTACTTCAATGAAAGACCAGGTCAGAAGTCGCTGCCCTGCGGTGACCTCATTAAATCATGATTATCTTTCTTCTGCTGCAATCCATCTCTCTAGCACACACACCATCTCTGCTTGCATTAAAGCGTATTGACTGCTTGAATAAACTGCTGTTAATGATCAGTCTGGCCCAGAGAGTGAGACTGAGTGGCGACAAGACAAAGAGGTAACATGTGGCATAAAGATCCACATTCAGGACTGAGTCACACCTCCCTCTGTTCACTCTTGTCTCTCCATTTGATCCCTTTTGTCTCCAAAACAAACCATTCCTCGTGTTCTGTCTTTATTCTCAGGCTATTCTGAGATAACGGATGATGGATAACTGTAGACTGAAGCTGATACTGAACCAGCAGCCACAATGCAGGGGTAGAATTACTGCAGAAAAATGTTAAGCTAGGCAGAGGCTGGCCAAAAGAAGGGAGGAAGGAGAAAGGGAGAGTAATGAAAAACACATGGTGTGAGGAAAATGAAGTAACAGGGGTTTCTAATTCTCCAGAGACGAATGCAACAGCTGCATGGTGTGTGTCAGTTATGCAGTGACTTCATCTGTACAGTGAAATATGATTTGTGTTTCTGGCTCTGATTGTCTGCAGAGCCTCACCTTGCCTCGTGGAGACGTTCCTCTCGTTGCCTGCAGTCAGCACGACCTGCGCGTGGCTGCGCTCGAGGCCAAACAGTTCATCCTTCCCCACGCGGCCGCTTTTCCCAGACTTCATTGTGCCGGTCGGGCCCGCGGGCGCCAGGTAGAGGCCGTTGCAGTCGCGGAAAGCCACTTTCCCGGAGCGGAACTCCAGCATGTAGCCGGTGTCCTTGTCGGTGTTAGTGGACAGGCTGCCGTCACTGCGGAGGAAGCGGTTGTCTGAAGTCTCCAGGTGGTAGCGCTGGTCCCGATACACCAGAGTCACCAGAGAGTCCACCCCCCAGGGGACGTCCCGGTCTATGGACACCTCCTGCCGCCCCCCTTTCGTGCTCAGGTGCGCGAAGCGTTTGCGCGTGAAGCTGTACAGGTTGACCTGCGGGTGCACGGCCAGGTGCACGCTCCATTTCTCTGCCGGTGTGGCGGTCTGCGCAAAGCAGGTGATTCGGTCCTCGCTTCCGCCCAGGAACCGGCCGTGCGGCTCGGACTGCAGAGACCACCGCCCGTCCTCGTGCGCGGTGATGACGAAGCGGCAGTCGCGGCCGCTGCGCGTCTCGCTGTCCGCGGTCACGTTGCCGTCTTTGTCCGTGGCGAGGTAGCGGCCCAGGTGGGAGCGGAGGAACACCGCGCTGCCGTCCTCTCCGGTCTGCTCCAGGGTCCAGGTCTGCTTCTTCTTCAGGCTGCTGGCCGACGCGTTGATCTTAAAGCCGAAGGTCTCCGCGGTCAGATACTTCCCCGCGCTGTTGATGAGCCCCAGAGGGATCTGCAGCAGGTCCCCGTCAGCATACATGACTACCGTGTGTCAGAGATAGAAAATAAAAGGAGAGGATTCTTGTTTAGACAGGCGGACAGAGAGGAAAACGTGGGGGAGTGTGAGGGAGGGACAGAGAGAGAGAGAGCTGCTCTGCTGGCTGGTGATGAGGAGGAGGAGGAAGATGATGAATGTCCCCTGACTGCAAATCCAGACTGCCTCTCTGGAGCTGCAGGAGTTTCAGGACTGGGAGTTTTTTTCCTGCTGTAACGGCAGAACACGCCCCAGATATACAGGCAGAAGAGCTGGAGGGAGATTACAGCAATTTTGGAAAACCACCCCACCCACACACAGAAATACTGTGTATTCAGTATCATCCCAACTATTATAGCTCATGAGAGGTTGAAGACGTGCTCGGATCTTGTAGCCTACTTAAGTTAACGTGAAATACCAGTGTAGAAAATATTCATTACAAATAAAAGTCCTGTAATCAAAATGGTACTCAAATAACTGCATCAACATTTACCAAAAGTAAAACTACTCCTTATGCAGTTTGGCCCATTTCAGATTAATATACACTATATGTTTTGATTATAATTATTGATATATTATTGTGTTTATAAAACTTAAAAGGTGGAACACATTTGTATTTATACCGCTGGGTAGCATATTAATTTAATCCAGGTGTAATGATAGTCTTATTTAAGTGATGATTATATTTTACATCAGTAATCCATATCTGCAAAGTAACTAAAAGGTAAATGTAGTGGAGTAAAAGTACAATATTTACCTCTGAATTGGAGTAGAAGTACAAAGTAGCAGAAAATGGAAATACTCAAGTAATATACAAGTCCCTGCAAAATTGTACTCAAGTACAGTACTTGAGTAAATGTACTTATGTTTTACACACTGACTGTATGCCACACATTCCCCCCTTTACTTTCCCTCCCTTTGAAAGTCGTGAGTGTAAACCGGGCTTTAATTGAGATCTGCTCTCAGTTCCACATGGTTAGAGCCATTCTCCCAGAACAGAACACTGTTTGTCTCATGGCTGCGTGTCTGTGCTGCAGCTATGAAGACACGGAGGTAAAGAGGACAAGGTGACCCTAATATCTGACTAGAAGTATGTCAGCTCACTTAAACTGTGTTATGGAAGGTGTTGAAGCCCCAATACTTTATAAAATAATCTGTTACAAGTGAAAGTCATGCATTCAATATCCTAAAGCTATCAGCAAAACCCAATTAGAGAATCAAAAATCTAAGTACTACAGAAAACCTGACTCTGCACCCATTGGCATATTATTTATGACATTGTTAACACTGATACATCAATGTTTAAACAGCATTTTACTTGCTGGTTGTGGTGGAGCTAGTTTGAACTACTTTACTGAAGCGGTTCCCAATCTGGGAATCACATCCCTCCAAAAGGTCACATGTTAAATCAAAGAGGTCATGAGGTGATAAACTGAAGAGGAAAGAAAAATAAAGTTATGAAAACATTATCTTTGAAAAGTATTGAAAATGTTGACCTCAAACAGTTGTTCAAATAAGAACATGTGAGAGGTTTTGAGGGGAAATGTCCACAACTTATCAACAGTTAGTTTACAACAAAATGTGACAAGAGCCCCAACTAGACAGTGTTTTTTGTAAAGGTTAGGAACCTTGTCCTGTCTTCAACACGTTTCTGTATTTTGTAAACTAATCATGTCTGACATACAGTTTTAATCCAAACAGTGAGTGTTAGATTTAAGTAGAGGACTACAAATAATACAAAATGTTCACCTGTAATGTAGTGAAACCGTACACCATACAATGGAGATGCTCAAGGTAAGTATGAGTGAGTAAAAGTATAGCCTTCTTAATTACTTTTGATATCTGGTGGGGTTTTCCTGACTTGTTATATCCCCCTTTACAATTAAGAGAAAACATAGAGAATATGATATTTTAGGCCAGCGTGCAGGCAGTGGGCTTCTTTTTTCTCTGATCTAACTGCCTTTAATTCCCTGTGATGACATCTTGCCATTGTAAAGTACGTGATGTAGAGTAATAGGGTATATATCTATTATTCTCTACTCCTGTATTGCATTACAATTTCAGGCAGATGTGAAAAATATGGAAATCAGACGTCCACAGCCGAAGTTAAAGGTGTGGGGTTTCTGTTATGAGCTCCAGTTTTTTCCTGACCTTGTTCCACCCGTTTCCATCCCTGGATCCTCTTCCCTGCACATTATTTATCCTAGAGAGAGACACCGAGCTTATCTTTTCCCCACACCAAACACAATAATATTAGAAGCGTAATGCAGAGCCACACGAGAAGCCAATATAAATAGTTACGCCTTTTGAGTTATTTTGTTTGTGTTCTCCTGTAAAATGTCTCTTACAGTGAATCTGATTACCTACATGTGCTGTTCTGATCAGTGAAATACTTGTACAGTAACTCCTCTCAGTCAAATTCTTAAAGGGTCAGAACACCTCTGCGCAACTAAAATAGCTTACTCATGCTGCTGAATGTAATTTGAGGAAGCATGACACACTTTTTCCTGTTAAAATTCCAACAGGGTCATGGGTAGTTCACTGTACACACATTTGCATTATTTTGCATGTGCACATTTCCATGTCAAAGATTATGCAAAAAGCTGCCCAAAGACCAAATGTGGATTGTGTTCCATAAAATGACTTCACTGACAGTTTACTCACCAAGTGTTCCATCCTGAATGAAAAACTTATCTGTACAATGTGATATATGTTGGTATTTTTTTATGGACCAGTGTATGGATAAAATAGCATCTGTAGCCTAAATAAAATAACCATATTTTGTTATTGTTAAAGGTGGGGTAGGTAAGTTTGAGAAACCGGCTCGAGATACACTTTTTGTTATATTCCATGGAATGCTCTGAACATCCCGATAGCAATGAATATCTTAAGTGCTTTGACAAAAAATCCATTAAAAAAAATGTCATCTGTGGAAGCCGTAGTACTGTAAAAAGCACGACCAATCATTTTAGCCGGCCCGGCTAAAATAACTGGATGGCCTACCTGCCTGTCAGCCTTCCATCTGTGCACAAACTTATCTCGTGCCCTCATTGGTCATGTGCGCGTTTGTGTGTGTTGGAGGAGGGGCTCTGTAAGGAAGTGCAGATTTTTTCCGGTAGTGTATTTTCAAATTCTAGCGCACTCGAGCTGGTTTCTCCAAAGTTACCAACCCCACCTTTAATTTGTAAATTCAGCATGTATATTTTCTACTTTCTTGTTTATTTCTAGTCTTTTTATTTAATTTTTAAATAATTTTAATTGTACAATGCCATGTCTTTTTATGCTGCTGCAACACAAACATTTCCCAAATTGGGATCAATAAAGTATTATCTTATCTTAAAGAAGCTACATGACAACAATCCACTTGTAGCATCCTCCTAGCAAACATACAGTTAGTTGGTGAAGTGATGGGAGAGGAGACACTGGAGATCAAGAGAGCCGTGAAGAATACATGCAAAAAAGTAAATTGTGGGTTTTTGGTGGGCTTAAATAAAGATACTAAGTTTGAGAGAGGAGAGTAGTGAGGTGGAACGGACAAATCAAACAGGCCAATGCTCTGAATTTGCCTGGGACTGGATCAGGACCTTGCCTCTGCATGGAGAATCTGGTTGTGGACATGAGACTGGGACAAACAGGACATTTTGGAGGTGGGACAGTTTCAAAAAAGCTTGGCCTGGACCTGTGCTGCCTCATGATGGAGAGTGTTCAGCTTCTGAGTCCACATCGCCCCCGTCTGGGTATTTACAGAACAGCAAGGACATGGCTTTTAAGGATCTGCAAACCTGAACAAAAGCTGAGATGAAACATACTTTCACTCATCAAGAAAGTGTCAGAAAACATCGTGGGAACCGTAGAGAAGCTCTCTTCAGAAGTTTAAAGATTACATATTCCACCCGTTTCAACACAACTTATTAAAAGCAGGCAGTCTATGATTTTACTTTGCACAGTGGAAAAACAGGTGTTTCATTAAAATCAACACCAACATCAACAACCGTCCCAAAAGGACAGTATGCTTGGTTGGTGATCTCCCTTTCAGTTGGCAAAGCATTATAGGCACCTAGGTTGTCCACTGCAATGCATTGCAAGAGGTTTTGCACAAGACAACAAAAAAAGGCATATTAATTAACAAGCAAGTGCGTCGTTTAAAACACTTTATTGAATGGCGTTATGTCTGCAATGCAGGCCCTCTTAACTCCCAGTATTCTAGATAAATCAATCAACATATGTATAAACAACCTTATTGTCTTAAATGAAGTCATTGTTAACGTTAAGTAAGGTGGAGACAATATTAATGAACGGCATATCATGTTTTAAACACTTACCTGTGCATGGTGCTCTCCTCAAACAATCCGCGAAAAACCAAAATGTATTTATCGTTCCGGGAGGGTTATACCAAATAATAGGAGTAAGTATTCATGAAATAACCAGAAATAGATTAGACATATGTGAAGTATTTTGGTGTCTTGTTTATTTATGTATGACCTGGGTTCCGTTTTTTTAATGTAAAACAGGTCTAACTATAGCACCCCTGTTTTTGGAAGCACCTAAGTAAGGGGACTATAAAAAGGTGCTCTTTTCTGCCAATGCCTAATGGTAAGGCAAAGCGTGTGATGCCTTGCACAAAACTGCAAAAACATCCCACATTTGAGGGTTTGCTTTGCTGTATCTACTGCTCGCACCTCCTTATTTATTTAAAAATGTATAAATGTATCCCTAAAATCAAGATTTTTAGTTGTATTATTTACATCTGTGATTGTTGTGACATATCCAAGAGTCCTGCATAAATAGCCTTAAAGCCTTTGTAATGTGTTGTGCTTTTATCTAATTTTATTTTGGGACATTGATATTTGTATAACATTTGTGAAGCCTAATTAATCGTTTTACATTATTTCACTTTTTTAACTTCTAAAATAGAACAGAAAAACTGTCAAAAGAGTCATTATTATGTTCACTTTGTGGCAAATGATCGTTTTTTAATATTTACTTTTTCTAAATATACTAAAAAGGCAAACATTCTTCAATCTACTTTATTCTGAAAATCTAAAATGTCTGACTTTTTTCTGTATATATCAACATTGTGACTTTTTTCTGAAAATCTCAAAAACAGTATGAGGCCTTTCAGTCTGACCTTCAGATAACATGCAGTGCAGTTTTCCCCTCACTAGGTGGCAGTCTTTGCTGTGCAACATCTAACACACATCACACACAATACATACAGTGAGTACACACACGCACACGCACGCACGCACGCACGCACACACACACACACACACACACACACACACACACACACACACACACACACACACACGCAACGGCTGTCCTCTGTATAGGCAGCAACAATGAAAGAGAGATGTAATGCTGGGTGTAGCTGTTACATAGGACCCAGAACAATAATATACATAACATGTGTTACATTTTATGACATTGCATATGTGCAATACTTTCCTACACAACCCTCCGAATTCTGCACATTGCACATTGTAACTGCACATATTGTATTTTATTATATTTTTATTTGAACAGGTATACCTATACTTTATCCATATTCAATGTAAAGATTGCAATACAGTATATCTTTTTTTATCATTGTTTTTACAAATACTTAGAAAGATCCACAGCTACAGCATTAAGTGTGTCGGGTTGTTCCTCACAAACAGAAAGCAGTCTTGTCGACTTCTCGGGCTCTCAAGAAACACATTCTTGAACTTCTTAAATTATATTCTAAGAAAACTGACAATGTGGTTGTAAAATGAGATCTGCATTGAGGTTGTTTGCCCTGAACAAAAGTATGCTGGACTGCCTGGCTGTGTGGCTCTCGGGGGGGCCACCACCTGTATAAACACTGTGCATGAGGATATGATACAATAACAGGAGGTTGGTGAACACTCTGCAGAATTTGAGAGGAGAGGAAAGTGAAGAACAATGTAAAAGAAGAGATCGGCAGTTTAAATTTAGAATGTGGAAAAAGTTCACATTTCTGTTCATCAGCAATTTATCCCAACCCGGTATCACGGCAAGACGGTTGATTTATCCAGCATGCAGATCTTATCTGTGCTGATTTAGTTTCTGGTGAATCAGCTGCCCGCTTTTCCTTCTCTGTCGTTATATGTTATTGTTAGTACATTAAATAGGGAGCTCCTACATTATGCCAAAAGGCTGGGCTGTTTGTCAACAGATGGCATGGTATGTTTATTCATGACATACTCAGAGTATAGAAGATTTAAACTTGTGTAAATCATTCTTCCATATTTACTTATCAGTTGTGTTATGCTATTGGATATGGACATAAGACACATGTATCATATACATTACAGGTTACAAGCTTTATATATACAGTCTATGGTTACAAGGGAATAATAAGATTTAAGATTCACAATAAAGTTGCAGACAGGTAGGAGAAGAAAAAGAAGAAATGTGAATGTGTAGTAAGAAGCAAAGAGTAAGAAAAGCATACAAACAAAAAAGACTACTCAAAAGCAAATACTGTGTGGTTGCATAATGAAGGCTTGCTGGAAACACACAACTTTGCAATAAACCAAATAAGATGCAGCATTTCAGGTAGGTTTTACAATATATTTAGACTTACACTGGGTGGTCAAGGGCGTACAGAGTACAGAGTACCCTTAGGTAAACGCCCCCCACCCCACACCTCCGAGGGATGTGAAAAAAAATGGCCCAAAAACAAATAATAATTAAAATAATAAAATAAAATAATATTAAAATAAGAAAAATTCAATAAGATATAATACAATCATAAACACTTTATAGAAATGTAATATGAAAAAAAGTTTTACTGAAAAAATGTAAAAAAATCAATAAATCTAATTACAATTTTGTTTTGTAAATGGGGACAAAGATTTCTGTTTGCTCCTTTCAGAAAAAAACATACAGGACTTTTTAGGTTTTCATTTCCTTTATTATATTTGTGAGTTTTCATGTTTTGAGAGATTTTGTGTCTTTGCCAGCCTAAAGGGGATGTGATCCAGTCACTTCAAATCAAACCTACCTGCTCAATCTGCTGTATAGATCAGTGTTATTGCAGGCAGTCCATATCTAGTTTCTGTGAGACGTGGGTTCGAATCCCCAGCCTGGTAGAACATCTTGGGCTGTATATCTCAAATAAATCTGTCTGGCCATAAAACATAATTAAAAAAATAAAACGTTGCTTAAAGAATATTCTCAAAAATTAAGCAAATGCAGAAAACAGATGTTATTAATGTAGTCAAACCACCAGGGGAAGTGTTAGGACATGTGTGAAGTGCTTTTGGTAGAACTTGACTTTATGACAGGGACGTTTTTTAATATTGCATTGCAGTCTGCTTACTAGTTAGTTGCTAGTTTTGTGGGGACAAAATTGGCCATTTAAAAAAGTGGTGGGACATGTCCCCAGCGTCCCGAGCGCAAATAACGTATATGTTGACACGCTCGGAAGGCAGGGTTCGAGTTATGTGGGAGCCAATGGGAGCTGAGCTCCCATAAGGAGGGGTCTGAGCTCCCACGGACGCAGTGAAATCATACATCTGTGGGGGTCGCTAATACATTACCAACAACCATTATTTTAATCACAAATAAGGCATGTGTCAATGTAATGAGTATTATTTACGTTAACGAGGTAATATAGGCTAAAAGAAAAACATGTTTTCCAAAAGAACTACGCATCTCTTGAATGACAATATGCCTGCACTGCACCTCCAAGGTGCGCAATACATTATTGCGCAATCTATGCCTGTGAGCGTGCTGCGCGAGCAGAGATGATGTGTGTGCGTAGTTGAACCTTTTCATATTTAAGTTTGTAGCAAGTAGAGGGCTGCTGCTGTGTGTGTGTGTGTGTGTGTGTGTGTGTGTGTGTGTGTGTGTGTGTGTATGTGTGTGTGTGTGTTTGCACGCGTTAGTTTTAAAGACCCTCTATAGAGCTCAGTTTATAACTCGAACCCTGTCAGAAGGGAACAGTGGATCAGTCTCAAAAGTCTCCTTCACTATCTCTTTTTATTCCTAGGCTCCTTCTCTCCTGCTACTGGAGGAACACATGACATGTCCCGCCTTTTAGCACCTCCATGGGCAACGTTAGGAAATGTAGGAGGGAGCAAGGAGGGATTGCAAAACTTTTGACATTCAGCCCTGGGCTGGTTTCAGTTATTATCTCTGTCAAGCTAAACAAAGCTAAAAATGTACAACCGATTTGAATTTTCAAAATAAGACTCTTATTAAAAACATGTTGCCTTTTCCTTAAAAATAAGACACTAATTTGGCCTATTTGATAACAAATATAATTGTTACAATACATTTAATCATAAAAACACCCCACTTAATACAATTTGATAGAAGTTTACCATCTTTTATCCTGTTCGTGTTCTTATTTTGAAGGCACACTAACATAGTTTCCGGTATAGCCATGACTTTTTCCATCTGATTTGACGCAGCTCATTAACAGCTGCCCCTGGTTGCTAGACGACTCAAGCTGCAACACTGGTGTGAAAACAGAAGCCTCTACATGGAAACAAAGCAACATTTTAACGGATTTAATGAAGATATGGTCAACAGTGATTATCACAGCATCACTGTTTCATTACGAGGAGAAACAACAGTGTCAATGTGGACCAATATCCGAGTTGTAGTTGACGTCTCTTTTGTTGCCCCATGTTTTTACTACTAACGTTAGCAGCAGAGGCAACCTGAAGTTAGCCTTTTTGACTCTGAAAAAATGAGAGGATTAACGTAGACACGGAGAAAGTCTTTTAAGTTTGGCAACTTAACGTAAGTGTTTGTTTACCAGCTATGTTTGGTGCAAGTGCTAAGATGTCTCTGGAGGCGAGTGATGTCCAAACAGATGAAGACTTCGAGGAGCTGGTGAGTCCTGAGCTTTGGTTGTGTCAAAAATACAACTGACTTTGTCCCTCAATTTGTATACAAGTTATTTTAGAAAGTATTTACTACATATATAAAAGTGGTGGAGTGCTTAGTAGGCTATATGTGCACAATTAAAAACACACAACATAAAGATAAACAAATACAGTGCAGGAAGAGGCGAAAACCAAATAATGTTAACATTTCACAATATTTTAGAGAAAAAAATAAACAGATTAAGTACATTTACTCAAGTTATGTACTGAGTGAAAATGAAAGGTAGCCTACTCGTACATGAGTATTTCCATTTTATGCAACCTAATACTTCCACTACATCTCTTGTCATTTTAACTTGACTGTATATTGTAGGTTTTACTTCACTATCTTCAGTTTAGCTATATCTTTATGTTAAAAACAAATGAACTTAAAAAAAAGACCACAATAACAAGGCATCATTTTTTTATGGACGTTTTATGTCCATCATAATGCTTCAACCCAGTCACGAAATGAATCTATTGATTCGTGTTCACCAACACGATTTTCCCCTTTTTTTTCGTGTCAAAATCGTTCAGATTTTACACAAAGATTACAAAAAATACAGATTTCAGTATTCTGACACAGAATTGCTTTTAAAATCGTTCTGTGTGACACGAAAAAAAAGGGGAAATCGTATTGGTGAACACGAATCAATAGATTAAATTAATTTTGTGACTATAACTAGAAATGCCTGGGTTGAATGCTTTCCATTAAAATATGAAACCACTAAACAGCATCTAAAATAACTTTAATAAGCTCCACCCCGACCAACTACAATAGAGAAATGCTGATTACACATGAATGCATCAGCAAAACTAATACAATATATAATAGTAAAACACATACTCGGTAGCTATGTGATTACTTTTACTTTGTACATTTGGCTAATACATACTTAGGCCTAAACACTTTGACTCTGAATATTTTAACAGTGTGTTGAGTAAAGGATCTGAATACTTCTTCCTTCTTCCAGGTTGAAGATGGCTTTTCTTTCTCTGCTGATTTTTTGGAAAAGGTAAAGAAATTAATAATATGCATTTCATTGAGTTTGGTGAATACACTTCGTCTGATTTAACACCCTTTATTTGTTCACAATCAGAAAACAAGAAGAAAGAGATCTTCTAGCAAGCCTCCTCCGTCTCCAAGTAAGACTTTGGGATTTGTTGCCGGCACTGTTACAAATCTACTTTCCAAATGCCATGATTGTTAATATGCATAACGTGTATTTGTGTAGGGTCTCCATACCTCTCCAGTATGAATGTAAACCCCAGAAGAGCAGCGGTGGCGGCCTGGCGGCTGCCGAGGGCCTCGCTGGGGGACACCAGGGGGGACACCAGGGGGGACACCAGGACACACACACCTGGGGACGGTGGCTCAGCTCGCATCACATCCCTCAGCAACGGCCACGGTAGGCGGCGCACTCACACACACACACACACACACACACACACACACACACACACACACACACACACACACACACACACACACACACACACACACACACACACACACACACCTAATCTCCACAGACCTAGTGTCAGGAGGGAAGGTTGCGCAGAGGCTCACATGGAAAGAGAGGAAGCATAACAAAATGAGAGACTTTTCAAGTAGTTTGTTCAGCTGGTTTGCTGCCTTTGTTGTCATTCTCCTTCTCAGAATTCATTCTTTTTTTAAAAGACGTAGGATAAGCAACTCTGCAAGTGCTATAACAATATTCCCTTTGGACAGATACATGTGTGATTTCAGTAGAATATCAGTTCTGTAAACTTAAAGCTGTTATTCTCTTTTTCTCAGCACCTAGGGGCAAAATAACTCTCCAAAACCCAAAAAAACATTGTGTCTAACATATTTACAGTTGACAGAGTTTTGTCCTACATGTAGCAAATACAGTTGCCAGTTTATCAGGAACATGTAGCTTAAACTGATGTAGGCTAATGCAACAGTCCTGCATATCGTGAGGGATTATAAAAGGTCAGGTTTGGTTTGACAATGTTTTAGAAAGGTGTTCAATTAACTGTATGATCATTTTGAAAGTGTGTGCCTGCTGCTGAACATATTTATTTTGTAGGACAATATATATAATTTCTTTATCAGCCAATGTATGCCACTGGACTTACAAAAGAGAGCTAAAACAAACTAAAAAACACCTTAGAGCAGTTGCAGATTCCCTGTTCTCTTAACTATTATTCTTATATCATATCTGTACCGTATTGCATTGTGCATACCTCACATGAGTCTTTTTATAACAGTATGACTGCTTCAGTTAAATGCATGAGTCAGGTGGAGCATTGTCTTGTCTAAAGAAATATCTGAACCTCTCTCTGTCTTTCCTCCTCAGATGTGTCGCAGACGCTGAGATCTGAGTATGATGCCACACCAGAGCTACTCAGACAGACCTTGAGCATGAAGAAACACAAAAATCTCCTCTCTGGATCCAACGGTGAGAGAATGCGTAGGTAGAGGAAAGCAGAGAAAGAACAAAGAAGTGACGGGCAATGTTGAAAGGCACATTCTGTTCTAAAGAGAGGAATTATCTGAGGAAGGGAGAACATATACAAACACATGCTAGGATGTGAGGTTTACTTTATGATGTATCATCCACCAGGTGTTACATAACTCTATTTCTCTTTGTGTGTTGCAGGCATCACCCACAGCACAGGTGACTACAGAGACAAGGAGGACATGTACGATGAGATTATTCGCCTCAAGAAGGTAAAAAGATTACCAAATGAATATTGTATATGCAGTTTGCTGGTGATAAAGCATTCAGGGGAAAACAGTAAAAGTTAATTGGGAGATTCTTCTTCTGCAGGAGAGTGTAGCATGTCTCTGGTCCGCTGAAATGTCCTTCAGCTCCAGTGTGCTGTTATATAGCTGCAGCAGGGGGACATTCACAAAATGATTGCATGGCTTATAAGACCGCTAAACCTGTGCAAATAATACAAAAAAAAAACGGCGTTGCCTAGCAAAGCTACAAAGTCTCAAAGCTCCTGTGCAATTTAGACCTATTTATATTAGATAACATGCACACATATGGCGCAAAGTTTGTCCCTTTCTGTGCAAATAAACCTCATGGTAGCTGGCACTAACGCAGCAGTAAAAGATAATACATTATATTTGAAACACACAGTTACTGGGAAATTATTATCATCCTTAAATTGCTAGTTACTAAAGCGCATTTATAGGCGGCGTCTACTCAAACCTATTTAATCTTGGATTTAGTGACAAGATGCGATGACCGTTGTGTCATGAAAATAAATAAAGCTTCATTTCATGTCAGTTTAAAATACACAGGAAAAACAAAATATGGGCAACCGATAAACCCATTATTTCTTTCCTTTATCTTATTTTCAAATCCTGGCCTTAGATCTTTCTCGCTCCTTTCTCTTTACTCTCATCTCCTTTTATTTTCGGAGTGTGAGCTGGCACTTTGGAAAGCCCTTCCTGTCAGCACCTCCTGACTCTCAGCCCTCTCAACTGATGCGTTGTCCTCAAGTGCACTTGTAGTTGGCCACATGGTTAATTGCAATCAGACGAAAAAAAGGGCAAATTGCACTCAGCTGCAGAACTTTACAGGCTTGTTTGCGCTGTGTTATCATTACTGTAATCCATTTTATTTTGAATTTGTCCCACAGCTTTTATTCCTCTGCAGGAGACAGATTAGATTTTTATTCAGATTTTTCACCTCAGGATTTATTTTTATTATATGATGCTTACATGTGATTAATCACTATTTCTCTGCAGACTCTCCAGGCTCACAAGTCCGACAACCAGAAAATGAAAGCCAAACTGCGCCGCCTGGAGGAAGATAACGCCAAAAGAGAGAAACAGATAGAAGAACTGTTGGATCCCACTAAAGTATGATCACTAAATTAACCTTTCTGTCATACTAAACTTGAAAAACTAATTAATTTGAAACATGTTTTTTTCTAAAGGGATCTGATTACACTCGAAGTTTGGTGGATAAGAAAAAAGAAGGGAGTGTGGTGAGTATGTCCACCTGTTGGTAAACATATACAACATTATTTTTAGGCTTTATGTAACACAAATGTTCTTAACTTTATCCTATCCTTAAAGGTGATCAATGGGCTGAAACAGAGAATCCTGAAGCTGGAGCAGCAGTGTCGAGAGAAAGAAAATGCCCTGAGGTAAAACAACTCTCCCATCTTTGCGTAAATATATTTGTTTTATGTGTAAAGCTACGTAATGTTCAGGTTATTTACTTTACCCCCCCCCCTCCCCCCCAGTAAACTACAAAGTGAGCTGAGGACCACCAACCTGGAGGAACTGAAGATCACAGTGGAAACATACTTTGACGAGGTAACATCTGGGCCTACATACAAAATGTCTGCTTATTGTTAATTTTCCACCTGAATACTGAAGTAAAAAATCTCCTTTCCTGACCACCAAAGAACGAAAGAGAAGAAAACTCTTACACCCTAAAATTATGTTTGAATTTAAAGAAGACTGCTGTGTGTTTTGTTGCTGTAGTAAGCTATTTATTACTCATGTTCACGTTGGTTCTGTGTCATGGTCATGTTGTTTAAATGTTTATGTGCCTCATATTCCAGATCCAGAGGCTAAGGATCCTTCTGGAAGCTGCAGAGAAAAGGTAAGCATCTGCTGTATTTCAATATTTTTGTTTTTTTCTGGTAGAGAACAAATCAACTCATAGAAAGCTGTAACAACATGCAGTTAAACCCCTTTCAGCCTGAGTGAATAAACCTGTGTTTAATGTCGGTATGAATGGGTAAATGTGGGTCTTCCAATGATTGTCGGCTCCAATAATAGTATTGTTTTCATTTTAACTTCTTTATTATCATATGCACAACAATAATAGTGAAGCAGTCGGCATGAACATCTTGGATCAACAAAGTTAATTAAACAATTTTTTTTAATAAAAGGAAAATCCTGCAAGTGAAGGCAAAATAGGAATCCAACACGTATGCAAGTAAAAAATATAGGGCTTAAATATATACATAGATACATAAAAAGTCATACATTTATGGAACACAACTTGAGTTAGTTTTGGCTGTGACTTCGTGCCCTCTGTTGTTTTCCTTAATCTTGCAGATATTTGAACATGACTGTAGGTTGTTGGCTGAGACTATTACCTTTTCAGAAAGCTGACAAGTTGAGAAAAAAAATTCACTTTCCTTCACCAGCATTCAGAGAGGCAACAAGGATTAAAGGAGTCATTGTCAGTGGGTGACAAACCTGGTAGTCAGAGACTTTATTCATAGATTAAACTATGGACGCTCATATCAGTCACAGAAAAGGGTTGCAACATTTCTGATACATTTTTTAAATACTGTCACTGTGCACATGTTATCTGTATCTTCTCTCATTGAGTCATGACCTCCCTCCCTTTCTCTCTGTCTGCAGCAGTCGAACAGAGAGTAAATGCTCCCAGAGGCAGCAGAAGGTTTTAAGCTCCACGGTGCACCGTCTGTCTGAGAACCTGAAGCAGCTGCAGCAGGAGAACACGGCGCTCAGAGAGGAGCTCGACACGGACAGTCCTGCAGGAGGAATCAAAGGTGTCTTCTCACACACTGACACCCTCAGCCCACATACTGCATATGTTCCTTTTATCAGTGTCAATGCACCTCCGTGACACAATGCAATTCCATCTAGCTTTGCTGGTTTACTTTCCCCCTGTTCTGCTCTGTATGAAACGTATGTAATGTGTGAAAAATCATGAAAGCTAGAGTCAAATAATCAAACTTTGAAAATGATAATCCATACAGAGGAAGGTATAAAATATGAAGGAGTGTTTTAAGTATGTGTTATCTTACTCAGGTAAAGATTCTTCAATGTATTTACACATAGATTACCTTGGTTAATTACCCATCTAGGATAGTTTTTAAAGTGGACCTATCATGCTATATTTGAATAATATAGTGTAGGACCATACCTATATAAGGCATATTTATAATTTTTTTTTTTCAAAATACCAAACAGATCATGCATTTTAGCCATGCCTCATTTTGCTCAATTTGCACTTTTTTAGCTCTGTTTTTGCAAGGGCAGATTCTGTGAGAACAGCACCATCTACAGGCCTGGCATATGTACTACAGCGTCTCCAGCGCTTTCGAACGGCAATGGCCGTGGCTGTCTCCTCCTGATTGGTGGAGTTGGCCCAATAGCCGTAGTGCCACCGTCCTGACGTCAGGACAGTGTTCAAATCTGGATCAGTTTTTATCAGATCCGTTGCAGCCCCTTTTTTAGAGATTTGGGTATGGAGGAAAATAGAGAGGGTTGTGTTTTCTGACACTTGGTGAGTTCCCTGGAACACCGGGGACACATATTCATGTATAAAAGACGTACAAAAGTGCATTTTGCATGATAGGTCCCCTTTAAGCTAAAATATTTATATATCAGGCAGTAATCAAATAGTTTCAGGTAACAAATAAACACCAAAGAGGGGTGTGCAATATGGAGAAAAGTATGTATTACGATGTATGTTTATTTATATCGCAATATTAATATTGATTATGATATAGGACCCTGATATTGGACTCAATTGAGAAACGTTTTGAATATATAATAACTAGATGACAATAGTGGGTATTTAACATTCATTCTTATACAATTCGTTTTTTAACCAAATATACATCTTTGAGTTTCAGTTGAAATGAATGATTGGTACAGTGGAATAAAGTGAAGTACTAACTTGAACAAGAACATTGAATGCCATCAGAAATGCTGTAAAATAAACGCAGGGAACAATCAAAGGAATTAATGAAACACAATGACTAATTATTTATCCACAGTGCTGCAAACCAAAGTAACTAAATACAAAATGTGGCACTTTTTAAAAGGTTCCTAACACAATAAAACCCCCTCTTTGTTATTGTACTCTGCACTGTATTGCTAACGAAAGTGTGTGTGTGTGTATCCTAGGCTACAGAGAGTGGAGTAAACAGAGACTGTTGAGAAGGCTGTTGGAGGTGGAGAAGGTGAGGAAAGCTGTTACTAGTTGTCCTGTAAACACATGCAGTCACCTGTGACAGAAAAGCAGCTTCATCACAGACCGACTCCTCTCTCCTCCAATCAGAGGCTGGAGGACAGCAGAAGTCACGCCCACTCAGCAAATCAAAGCAGCCGATTGGATCAGGAGGTCCAGGCCACACCCATGGAAATTCTAGGGCTTACCATGGCAACAGAGGCAGTGGTCTCCGTGGGAACAAGCACTGAAGCAGGGGAAGAGGTTTCTGAAATGAGAGAACGCCTCGGCCAATCAGAGAAGGAGCAGGCGGAGCTTCAAGAGAGGCTGTCTAATAAAGAGTGAGTAAACTGCAACCTGACAGTGTTTATAAATGATACACAGTGTATATATATTTTTAAGTCATATTAAATGTTATTAAACTGAATTCATTATATTCACCAATTGAGAAAACTGCTTTAAGGATGTTCATCAGACTATAAGTGAGGCCCCTTATTTTTTTACTTTACTGACAGTTGCTTGAGGCAAAAAGCAATTAAGTTTTGTTCTTGACACTGAATGTGTGTTGTGTGTTTGTGTGTTTGTGTTTTCAGTGATGAATTGAGACAGTTGAGGACAGGAAGAGAAGAATTGGAGACAGAGACAGAGCGATGGAAAGCCGAGCAGACGATTGACCGCGACAAAGAGAGACAGCAGCATAAGTATGTGTTAGTTGTGATGATGGGTCATTGATGATTAAATGATGTGTCATTTAAATCAACATTAAATACTTTGTACTGTATGTAACTAGGGCTAAACCAAAAGTCTTTGTTACATTGCATAGTGACCATTAAAACCTCCCTGAAGTGTATGTATAGTTTACAAGATGCAATATGTGATAGAGAGAAGTGTAGCCAACTCACAAAAGTGTTATTTAAGAAAGGAAAAAAAGTGACAATAATAATAAAAGCACAGTTTTACGCCCAAAAAATTAGCTGTATTTGTATAACTTATTTATACAAATAAAACAGCTGAAGAAAAATCAAGCAAGTTTTTCCGTAGTATGTAATAATGGTACCAGAGAGCATTTTTGACGAGACATGACATAGCTGAATATGTACAATATGTAATGAAGCTTTAAATGTCTGTCGTGATATTTTATGACATCATCACCCCCTAAAAGAAATCCTCAATTATAATATAGTGAATAACTTTCTTACATCAGCTTTCTTTAATAAATATAAGTCTTCAGTTTCGTTAGACTGCTGCTACACTGTCCTGTATATACAGGTGCATGCCTCGATATAAGTGTTGACATATTCGTATAGCCTATTATTATCTGCAATAGAGTGCTACAGTGACGTGTCCTAAAACCCGGAAGTAAGTTAGCATTTTACCATTTCCGGTTCCTTCGACAAAAAGCAATGCAATTTCTCCATAGGATTTTGGAAAATAGCTGGAAATAAGGTCTGTGGTTGACACACATTGAAGAGACAGATCACGTTTTGTTCAGCCGGATAATATCCACATGTCTACCCTACTTTTATAATTTTCTAATCATAAATCTATCGATCATAAATCTATCAATTAGATGGATTAGAGGTTTTAGGACGCGTCACTGTGGCACTCTATTGTGCTGAAATACTGGGTTTCAACAAAATGTAAAAGGACTGTCACCTTGTGCTGATGGATTTACATTTCAAACAGTAGCATTTTATGGGGAAATCTACCCATCGCTCTGATCAAAGCTAGTATCTCTGTCACATAACTGCTTTGTAGTTACTTAAAAAAATGTCCCAGCTAACACAGTTGGCATCATTATGAAGAATTGTCTGTATGCAAATAATGTCTAATTATAAAACAGCAAGGCAAGAAAACGGCGTTGTGGGGGATGGTCAAATCAATAATATAAGGAAATTATATCATAAAGCAGAGTTGTTTACATATGCAGTTTATCTCTTCTGCTAATACTACCACCTTTACAACAAACTAACTACCAGACAATATTATGACTAACCTATACTAGTGTTTTCACTGGGTGTCTAATGTGATCTCGGGAGGCTGTGGCTCAGTGGGTTAGTGCGCTGATCTTCGAATCAGAGGATAGCAAGTTCGAGTCCCACTGCAGCCAGCATGTCGTTGTGTCCCTGGGCAAGACACTTCACCCCAAATTGCTCCTGTGGGGATTGTCCACAGTACTGAATGTATGTAAGTCGCTTTGGATAAAAGCGTCTAACAAGTGACATGGAATGTAATGCAATGTAATCTCATTCTCATTATATAATGTTGTGTATGAGACCATGATGCAACTGGCTTAAGTCAAATATGATGTGTCATTTGACTTATTACTAATTGTTAAAGGACATCAAATATGGCTGCTGGTTGGATTTTTTCACATTTATGTATAATTTATGTGTGTGTGTGTGTTTGTGTTTCACAGAGAGGAGTTGGACCTGTTTTTGGCGAGGATCCAAACTCTGGAAGACAGAAGCAAAGCTGCAGCAGAGGAGCCTCCTTCTCTCTCTGACACATCGCCAGAGCACCATGAGGACTCTGAGGCTGGAGCCGCTGTGGAAGAGAGAGGAGACGGAGACACTGGAGGGGCAGGAGAGAAGGAGGTGGGAAGAGAGGAAGACATGTGTAGAGAAGAAGAGGAGGAGAAAGAAAGAGAGAAAGCAACGTTGGTCATCCAGACACACTGGAGAGAGCACAGGAACAGGGTAACGCAACACAAAGAGTAATGTCAAATAAAGTATTTATGTGTCAGAGAAACATCATATAAAAAGTGTCAGGAGACTTTATCTCAGATTTCTTTATTTTATATCGTTTTTCTCTGTATTGTATTTTCAGGACACTGCGATGTTGCAGTCCGCATTAAGAGGCCATCTCTGCAGAGAGAAACAGCTCAAGGACCTGCTAAAAGATGCACAGAAAAAGGTATCACACACACACACACACACACACACACACACACACACACACACACACACACACACACACTTCTTTTTAGTCAATGTATGTCTGGAAATGTTACATTTCACAATAATATTGGATCCTGTTCTTTCTTGGGATCAAAATCAGAGGTTCTTTTTTTTTTAACTATTCATCACAGTTTAGAACAATTACATTAAAAAAAAACAACATATTTTCCTCTTATTTTGCTGAATTTATTAATTGTTTTGTGGTGAGATGTCGGGTGGGAGGCTGTGGCGCAGAGGGTTAGTGCGCTGAACTTCAAATCAGGAGATAGCAAGTTCAAACCCCACTGCAGTCAGCATGTCGTTGTGTCCCTGGGCAAGACACTTCGCCCCTAATGGCTCCTGTGGGGATTGCCCACAGTATTGAGTATGTAAGTCGCTTTGGATAAAAGCGTCTAACAAGTGACATGTAATGTAATGTGTAAGAGAAGTGGTCGTAGTGATTTCTGCATTCTCTTGAATATAATTGGACTATATACGGCACCATCAAATACATGAAAAACTCAACAGCATTGTGTCTTTCCAGACATCTTGCCCCGAACACTCAATATAATTAATAGACCCTGAACTACTCTCTTTCTACTGAACTACTCCCACCAAAGAGTGAGAATAGGCTTCACCTCCATGAGTAAATGAACACTTTTCTCTTGGTGATAAGGTTGGCAGGTGTTGCAGGCAAAATAAACAGTAGCAAGTCTTATATGAAATGGGCAAAGTACCAATAGAGTAACACATAGCGATAAATAAAAGAGGGAGGATATAGGATGGAAAAAGAGTGCGTAGTTATGGTTGACGTATCTCAAGGTAATCATGATGCACAACTCAGGTTGAAGCATCACAGCATCAAACAGCACTGAGTTTAAAGGATGTTAAAATGTCATCAATATTATAGACGGACTTGTGTTGAAATAATCTAAGCTGCAGTTTAGTCAAATGACCACAAGATGGCTTGTAAAAGCAATTTATCTGAGTCTCTCCCTCAGTCTCATTACTAACCTTAGGGTGAAAATAAGTATTTTTTTCCGTTATATTTCTTGTATATTGTTAAGAGTTGATGTGATTGTCTTCCTAAGTTGGGAGGGGTGTGTCACAGTGTGTGTTAGGATCTAAGGGGTGCTGGGTTGGTATGGTATGTTATGTATATTTTTGTATATCGGCATTGTTTATATAATTGGACACTAGAAAGAATAGTATGTACCCTGGTAGTAACTAACTCGGCATCCAATTGAACAATAACAAACATAACATGTCTTTTTTCTTTTTCTGTCTTTGTCTTCTGAATTCAACATCCCCGGCCCCTCCCATACTCCTTTTTTCTTTCTCCTTTTGCTCCGTCTCTTCCTCATCTCCTCTGTTCAGGCAACAAACCGCAGTGACGCTGAATCCTCCGTAGAAGGAGAGCTGGATGTGGTTGCCTTGACGATGGTACAGTCTGCATTCAGGGGACACCTGGCTCGCTGTAGTCACGCAATAGAGAGGTGACTCATGTTTACAGAAAATGTTTCAAGAGCAGATGAAGTCAAACATACAGTTCATTTTGAAGCTTTATATATATATATATATATATGTGTGTGTGTTTGTGCATCAGCTCGGGGGTCTCTGTGCCTTCTCCAATGGGAAACAATTTACCCACCATGGTACCAAGAAAAGCTCGCTCAACACACAAAACCAGCAGAACAGGTGAGGTTCAGACACATTTTATGGACACTGAAAATGCAAAAAAAAAGTAACTGATTTCTACTAACAATATGGTACAAAGCATCGCCAAAAGGATACTTAAAACAAATGAAGAACAAGTAAAAACATAAGTCTTTCTCACTCTATCTTACACACGTTTTATACCAGTGTAGCTATATATATCTATCGTCACCAAATCTAATATTAAAGAGGACATTTTATGCTGTGAACTTTTGGATTTCAGCCTTTGTAGACCGTTAACAACAACCTTTACACTACAGGAAAGAGAAAACTCCCAAAAGCATGATAGGGCCTCTTTAAAGTACATTTTTACATTACATTACATTGCATTTAGCTGACGCTTGTATCCAAAGCGACTTACAATAAGTGCATTCGACCAAGAAGATACAAACTTGAAGAAAACAGAATCATATAAATACATCAGGTTTCATAGAGCCAAAACATTTCAAGTGCTACTCAACTGGCTTTAGATAAGCCAGTCCTTTATTAGTATATAAGTGCTTTGTTAGTAATTTTATTGCTCGAAGTGGAGTCGAAAGAGATGAGTTTTCAGTCTGCGCCGGAAGATGTGTAAGCTTTCTGCTGTCCTGATGTCAATGGGGAGCTCATTCCACCATTTTGGAGCCAGGATAGCAAACCAACGTGTTTTTGCTGATGGGAACTTGGGTCCCCCTCGCAGTGAGGGTGCAGCGAGCCGTTTGGCTGATGCAGAGCGGAGTGCACGTGCTGGGGTGTATGGTTTAACCATGTCCTGGATGTAGGAAGGGCCAGATCCATTCACAGCATGGCACGCTAGTACCAGTGTCTTGAAGTGGATTCTAGCAGTTACTGGAAGCCAGTGAAGGGAGCGGAGGAGCGGTGTGGTGTGGTAATTTAAGTCATGCTACTTGCCTAACATATACAGTTCATGAAATTACACATACTTTTCAAACAGAGAAACACAGACATTGTATGTATTTTTAGCATACACCTCTGTTTTTCTATGAAAGTATTTAATGCCTCTGTACCATTCTGTATATGTGTGAGTTTCCCTTCTGTAATGGCTTATGATGTGGGTCTACTTTCACTGGAGAAGTAGAAATGTATGTAACTCTGACAGGAAACACTATACCGTTACAAAAGAGTGTCAGTCAGGCTTGGTGTTTATTCGGATATCAATCTCCATGGCATCGCCCTGATCTCAACCTTGAAAGCGCTCATCATGTCTCCTCTGTCTCCTTTATGAGTCGTGATGGATCCTGCCGGCACACTGATCTAATTCCAGGGTGCCTGTTTTCCCTCTCCATCACAGGAGCTTTTACAGCCTCCCTGTCAAAGACTGACGAGGACACTCAGCAGCCCTGTGGCCCAATAATGTGTTTGCCTAACATCACCCTAAAGTCGCCTCTCTTTAAGAACCCTATTTCAAGCTTCTACCTCAAACAACCCTGATAGACTTCACCAACCATCCCAGTCACTTCCTTCCACTTCCCTGTCTCTCGCTGACAGCAGATGGGTGCATAGGGCAGAGCGGCATTGTCAGCATTTTCTTTCCTGCAGGCTTACCCCTGCATTTGATGTGCAGTGGACTTAACTAAGAGATTTTGGACTGCATCAGTTTGTTAATCTTATTCCTTTAGGCTTTTTGCAACACGACATAGAGTTGTTTTGTCTCAATTGCTTAAAAGTGTGCAATCATTAACATTGTAGACCTGTTATTGTGTGGGGAAAATAAATGAGAAAAAAAGCAAAGCAAGACATGGTGAAGATAATATTGAAATGCATCCTGTCTAAAGTCAATCAATCAATGTTTATTTATATAGCCCAATATCACATATGTTACATTTGTCTCAGTGGACTTCACAGTTTGTACAGAATATCAGTATGACAATACGACACCCTCTGTCCTTAGACCCTCACATCGTACAAGGAAAAACTTCCAGAGAGAAACCCCACAGTTTAAAGGGGAACATGGGAGAAACCTCAGGGAGAGCAACAGAGGAGGGATCCCTCTCCCAGGACGGACAGACGTGCAATAGATGCCGTGTGTAAATTGAAAAGATAATACATTTACAACATAGGTAGTCCAAATGTTTGGAAATGCGTGTGTCTATAATAAGAAGATGAATCCACGAGGATATCCATCCAGGACTCATGATCCAGGACCACAGCAACAGGCACAGCCACGACTCAGGATCCAGGACTCAGGACCACAGCAACAGGATCAGCCACGACTCAGGATCCAGGACTCAGGACCACAGCAACAGGATCAGCCACGACTCAGGATCCAGGACTCAGGACCACAGCAACAGGATCAGCCACGACTCAGGATCCAGGACTCAGGACCACAGCAACAGGATTAGCCACGACTCAGAATCCCGGCGTAGATAGACTAAAAATAAATTTGGGGAAGCTGGGTTATTCGGATCATGAGAGTACACAGGTACAGACAGACAGAAGGAAGAAGTAAGGTGTCACCCGACAAACTAAGCCTATAGCAGCTAAACTAGGGGCTGAATCTAATCAGCCCTAACTATAAGCTTTATCAAAAATGACTAAAGCTTGTGTTTTATTTATTTATTTATTTATTTCTAAGGATGTGTCTGACTTGCATTGTGTGTGTTGTTTTGTTACCAGGTGCTGCATCCCCACATGAACACGATGAAAAGCAGGAAGAAGACCCCTGGCTCTCCAGCACCCACTCCTCCAGGATGACACCCACAGCAGGTTAGAGAGAGGGGACATATCCTTTTGAGTTTCTACTGTCTAAAGCACAAAAGATCTTGGGGTCAACCACAGCTGTGTCTGTATATAAACTTAAACCACCTCTTACTCCTTCTCATGCTCATGTTGTCAGGGTTGGTTAAAGTATAGTAAGTTAGAAAATGCTTGAATTGAACCATTATGTTTTAAGTTTAGGAATATTGTTAAATGTGAAAATACTCTTAAAGAAAAATGTCAACATGGTCCTGTGTTTTATTAACACAATCACTCACTGTAACAGAACATCTTGTGACACAAAGTGACAATATACACTGATTGCTGTGGCCATAAAGTAATTATTTAAGCTTTGTTTTCCCAATTTAATTTATATTTACAATTTAGACGATAAGGGTTTTAAAACTCAGGAAATGTTAGGTTTGGGTCAATTGAAAGTGCTTGAAAAGTGATGAATTTTCCTTTTTCAAAGCAGAACAAAGTCAGTGTTGTTCGTACCCAGTTGATTTAGCACACTGATACCTGTTTATCTCCCACAGAGCTTCACTTCCCAGCTGAGTCTGCTGCAGTCGATTCAGACGATTCTGACGACATCATCGTTTCTCCGTCACGCCCTATGAGAAGCAGAGAAGTCTTAATGTTATAGACCCTCTGGGTTGTGTTTGAATGAGTGTGTGTGTGGGTTAGTGTGTAAGAGAGAGATTGTGTGTGTGTGTGTGTGCAGGGACAATTTCTGCTTGTTTCTACTCAGATCCTGTATGTCATACAGTACCAAATCTTTCTGGTTTGGGTTCTTACTGAACCTGCAAATGATTGCTGCGATATTACAATATTAGTAAGGGTAACATCAATCATCCACAATGTCTGTGTCAGATATCACTCACCACTCCCTATAGTCCTCTATGTAGAGAGTTTGATATACTGTAGTGCTTTTCCATGTATACTAGGAATCATTATACCCTATATAGTGGAACCAGAGTATCTCACAATCAATAGTGAAAAGTAGTTTTTACATCCATGTGTACAGCTGATTAACCAAACACTATATACCATTATTTAATGCACTGAAGGAAATTGTAAATTGTAAAAAATCCATGAGTGATGGCAAGAAAATCATGTTAAATATGAGGAAATTATACCACAATGCTGACACCCTAGACAAATAACTTTGGGTTTCTTAATCTTGAAAAATCGATCCATATAATATCATGTTTTTATCACAAAAACGCATTTCGGTAACAATTATGCATAGTCCACCAGTACACTTTTTTTCTTGCTCAACAAGAATGTATTTAACAACACGGGAAATTACCGGTCGTGTGCAACTTTTTTTGCAGAAAGGCCTGAGGTCTAACTTTTCCCACATGGAAGTAGTAGTAGTAGAAGTTAGGGCTGCTCAATTAATCGTATTTTGATCGCAATTACGATTATGGCTTGCAACGATTACGAAAACAACGTAATCGATAATTTTTTTTTTTTGGTTTTTCAGTTGAATTATACTTAAAGTTCAGGGTAATCAACTGTTAAAAACATTATGTTCAAAAAAATTTCTCCAATAGATTGATGTTTTCAAAGTAAATGGATAATCGTTTTTAATAATCGTGATATCAATTATTGACCCAAATAATCGAGAATTTTGATTTTTGCCATAATCGAGCAGCCCTTGTAGAAGTTGTAGTATTTTTTTCATTTTGCCAATGAGCTCACTTTATAGACGTCCACATAAAGCTCCCTAGATAGTTAATAGGGAGGTAGGTAGTGAATGATTTCTGACACAGACAATATTTTCTGAATGCAAAACGCTTTTATTCTCTACAGTAATAACCAGAGCATTCTGGGACATTGGGTTCAGGGTTATGACATGAAGTTAAGAGGCACATAAACACCTCACTTGGATCATGATTTATTTATGATGCTGTCAAAATACAATATGTTGATGCATCCCAGTGTTGACATAAGTCTATAGGATATTCTCTTTGAGTAGAAAGCACTCACATGAACATAAAATATACTTTCCTTTCATTTGTAATCATTTGAGCCAAATATATTTTCAAAAGTCTTCTGTTTTATCAATAGTTGTTTGTTTACCAAAGTGCCTACTGCATGGTTTTCAATTAAAATATCAGTAATAAATGTGTTAATTTATCTTGGCCAAAGTGAGCCACGTCACTCCTCTGGATCTCACAGACTTAGAATAATTAATGGATCTTATTTTGTCATGCCTGATTTCTAACACACGAACGACATTACACAAATCTATCATGTGCACTTAATAAATAATGGCTGATTCTGAGGTATGACTGAGGGATGATTCTCAACTGATGCACTATTGATCAAACTGTGAATAAATTATAGATCAGTCTGCTGCAATACTAAACACACAGTCAGTACAGTGGAGGACACACAGGGAGTATGTCTGATGCCAATAATGTTTTTGCTTTTAAATAGACAAAACCTATAAGGAGGTCAACAGAGAGAATGGATGGGTGCCGTTTCCCCGTTTGATGTGTGTAGCTTCTGTTCTGAAAAATGTAATAAAATGCTGTTTTTATAGTGAAACCTGTGTCTGATGATGCTCTTGTTGTAAAGCAGAGGTAGAAAGTCTTGATGTAGTATTTGGATAATACTACTGCACCAAACAAACACAAAACAGGGAAATGCTTTACATATTTTGATCACATTTTTTGAAAAGATTTGAGAAAAGTCCAAACAAATGCGTGTGACTGAAAAGTAACGATACAACCGTATAAAAAAGAATTAAGTGTTAACAATAAAACTACTCATTAGTTGGCAGAATAGCCCCTGTCAGAGTGTTTTATTATATTTGGGGATTTTTATTACTGATACATTAAAGTGCAAGCCACATTTTAGGTTTTAGCCAGTAGAGGTACTAAAGTGGTACTTTATATACTGTTCGGTAGTTAAACCTTTTACAATGCATTACATTTTTAAAATGTTTAATATATTTTATGCAGATTTAAAATCTTCAAAGTATTTCGTAACTAAATCTGTCAAACAATTGTCTGACAGACATAATAGTAGAGTAAAAAGTACAATATCTCCCACAGAAATGAAGTACAAGGATAAAGTAAAGTAAGGTAAAATGTTGTTATTTAGTACACACAAGAAATATTTCCACATGGCACAATGAGATGACAATAAGAGCACATTTTCGACAAGACACAAAACATCAATATAACAAAAACAGAATTAAGTAAAAAAACTAGTACTTTGACATGTTATAGGCATGAAGTATTTGAGTAAATGACCTGAGTTACTGTCCAACACTGGCAAAAGATCTGAATACTAATCACACCAGCTCTTCAAAGTAAAGCTGCTTACTGTTTTATGTACTACCATCATTTCAACGTTAGGGGGCGACCTCTTTGTGCATTTGCTCTCTCTCTCACACACACACACACACACACACACTTGCATGCAGAGCTTGAGAGCTGCCGCAAAGCCCCGTCCTTCAGGGCTTTTTAAACACCGTGTTTGCTTCACGCTCCAACAATGCCATCCAATTGAGTCGCCGCAGCAGCGCTTTACTCACTGAACCGACCGTGGGAACAACACCGCACGAGGAGCACAAACCGTCATGTTTTAAGGGAGAAACACGACGGCTTGAACGAAATTAAAGAAGATAGTGTGTCATTTAACCCCTAGTCTTCCGTGGTATTGTTGCTCTTCGGTGAAAAACAGCGGGGTCTCTGGGTGAAATGAGTGTGGACCGGGTAGTCGGTTGTGTTTAAATGCGGTTTCAGCCTCGGTTCGGCCGCGTTGATGCAGCAGCGCACGGCTGTGGGGGTTCAAATCCACCACCGGGAAGACAATAGGTGAAATACACGCCGGCCTGGATTCTCCCAAGACGACACTAAACGAGAGTCTGCATCCGCTTCGGCTTCACTAGGTAGGTTAACATATTTCATTTCCAACCCCACCGACACACGGAGGCTTTGATGTCCGCAGACACGGAACCCTGAAGCGGATTCCTAACGGTTCTCTAACCCTTTGCCTTGGAGACTCCTCGAGACTGCGGTAGTTTTAACGGTCAAAGCAGCTAATCCGTTTATATTGTTTGTGTATTGACTTGAATTTATGAGGAAACCATCGATTCAAGATTCAAAGGTTTTATTGTCATATGCACAGTAGCTACAGTGTAATTATGGCAATGAGAATCTTAAATCCCAGGCTCCTCCAACAATGCAACATTAATATACAGACATAAACAATAACAGCAATACAAATAGTGCGAGAAATAATAGAATATAAATAAAATAGTGCGAGAGAATGTTTCAAGACTAATGGAGGATAAGTGAAATATATACATGAACAATAGAATATGAGTTGACCTACATGCTGTCGTACAGTCAAGTCAGTAAAAGAAAGGAGTCTCGTGTGTGTGTGTGTGTGTGTGTGGTGTTTGATATATAACGGCCATTTCATCGCATATTTATCTCACGAAGCCAGGGTTTTGCCGTATGGGCGTAAATTGTGTGATGCGATGTTGCTGTCAGCCATGCTGCTGTTATGATCATTCATATACAGTATGACCTCATGCGTTTAATATTCGCTTACAACGGGCTCTTTAAAATGACATTTTAGGAGAGATATTATAATCACAGCGATAGCTTTAATGACTTTTCGTTGATTAGAATGGGATGAACTGCTCAATGACACTTATAATGTCGTCCCCAGTTATCATAATGCAGTCACAATATATAGCATATTGCAATGCTGTAGCTGTATTGCAGTGTTTGCAGTGATGCCTTTGTCCCTGAATGCCATTTAAAATAGCCACAGTGACAAAGGGAATCTTTTGGGGCTTTTTGAACTGCATTTCTATTACAAATATCATTCTCACATTAACACTTTATTGTTTTGTTTCTTATTATGGTGGAAATGACAGGCAAAGACAGTATTATTGCACACTTATCAACATTCAGCACCTCCAGTACATATTGGAGACAGGATGTGTTTGAAGTATTTTCTTTCAATAGAAATTCTAATTAGGATGTGAAATTCGTAAGGCATCTTAATAAATCTGTGTTCCATTGTATTCTCAACAAATGGAAAAAGAGTGTGCAATATATTGCCAAGTAGATTGACATGTTGTTCCCACCCCAGTTAGTGACTAATCACACATAACTCATCATATTGACTTTGTAATTATGTCAGTCATCAGTAATTCAACTCAAGTTGATAGAAGCAGGCTTTGCCTATCAGTAGCTGACAGATTTAGGACTGTAGATACTGAACCATTTAAATAAAATGCTTGAAGAAATGACATTGATACTACTATTCTAGCTCTCCCTAACACGACAGGTGCTGTGAAATGTCCGTCAAATAATGTCTGTGCCCCGTTAACCCACAACCGTCATGGTTTTCTCTACAGTGTCCGTGTGAGGAATTGGTTTAGAGAGAGAAGTGACGGTCCCTGGATCAGGATGGCGGCCGTGGTGAACTACTCTCCGCCCTGGTGGGTGAATCTGCTCCACCGGTTGCCTCACTTCAACATCGAATTCCAGGTGGTGAGCAGTGACTTCAGACCGGAGGACTCTGAGTACCAGAAGGTAAGACAAGTACGGGGGAATTATAACCTCCCAGTCAGAATTCATCATCCCCTTCACCATCACCTTATCGTCCCACCTTCTGCCACCTGCCCACACTGCAATTTCACAGCAGAGTGGCCAAGTGGTGACTGAGGCTGTCTTGCAACCACAGAGTTGTGGGTTCCCTCCCTGCATCGATCAATGCTTTGTGTGTGTGTGAGAGAGAGAAATGTCCTTGAATGAAAGCACTGATCCCCTACCTGCTCCATCTTTGTTATGGATAAAGCTTCTGCACAATTTATTACATTGCATAATCAATAGGCAGGGGTTCGAACCCTTTACGGTTTCAATATCAATATGAGGAATTGCAAGATAAATAGCGAGATCGGGAAGACAAAGACTCAGCATTTCATTTTTTTTATGTTTTCTCAGATGTTTGCTATTACTCAAGTCTTCAGGACTCTGAAAACTATTAAAATTAGACTTTAGATGAACAGCTTGCAGCTCCTACACATCATCCTAGACAATCTGATGAGGGGTAGCGAGTAGGCATTGCTTGCGTGGCTATCAATTTGTCACGAGGCGAAAAAGTGGAAAAAATGTGTTATCATGATTGACAGAAAATGGTCGTGATTGTGACAATTTGTAATTTAAAGAGCCGAAATGCTAATCATTTTTGGTTCCAGTTTCTTAAATATGAGGATTTTTCTGCTTGTATACTATTTTTAATTGAAGACGTATGGACTCTGAACTGTTGGCTGAACCAAACAAGACATTTAAGAAACCCATTTTGAGCTAATGCTAATTGAAATGTACAAGTAATCGATTAATTCGAAAAATAACCAAGAAGTAAAACCAATCATGAGAAGCATAATTGGAGTCTCTCGGTGCTGCGACTGAGTCTGCAGCGCTGCCTTATTAGAGAGCAGCTCCATCTCCAGGAGGGGCTTTGGCCCAGTTTTGCTGCATTTCATTTGGATCCTCAATCAAGGTGACTTCCAGGTCTCTGCACCAGAAACACAAACCCTGCGAAGCCACAAAAAGCCGAGACACATCGCTTGGAATCCCACATTTCCCTCAATGCAGTTTGCTGACATGCATGGGGGGAGAAGAGGCAGGGTGTGCAAGTTCAAGAGCCGAGCGTGGGAAGGCCCCCACAGCCATGAACATGGGAGGGAGATGGGAAGTGGAGAGAGATGCAGGAGGAGTGAGAGAGATAAAAAGAGACTGATTGGAGGCGAGAGGAAAGAGAGAAGAGCCATGGGAGGTGCTTCTAAATTGCCAAATAGCCACTTCCTGCTAGCTATTCAGCATTTCACTAAGGGCCTTTGTGAGTGTGTGTGACCACTGGAATTTTAAGAACCCCCCTTTTTAGACTAATTACATCCTGACATATTTTAGCCAATGAGGCTGTTTCTATGTCACTGAGCACCCCGCTCTATAATCATATGTTATTTGTACGCACAGAAGTTGTGCATGTTATATATGTTGTATGTACATATGCCACATACAGTATGTTCACTTTCTGTGTCAGTGCGTATTTAGCACTTAGCATTGTTTATTGAGGTGAGGTCACAGATCTCCCTCAGGGGTTTGTGTGTGTTATTGTGTTTGTGTTGGTGTGAATGCAGGGATTCTAGTCAGGGTGAAATCATTAATTCTGGCTAGACGAGGGGAGGGAGAGGGAGGGATAGAGGGTGAGAAGAACAAGAAGAAGGAGGTTGAATTGGATAGAGGGAGGGAGGGGGGGAGGGAAAGAGAGCGGGAGAGAGGGGGGGCTGTAGTCTGTTGTGAAAGAATGCTCTCTTTCTGTCTTTCACCGAAGCCCGTCTTTAGATTGGCTCACTATATCTGTCTCAAAGGCTTTCATGCATCCACTCATCCAGCTGAGAAACAAACACACACACACACACACACACACACACACACACACACACACACACACACACACACACACACACACACACACACACACACAAACATGGTCCTACACAGTGTCTTTCAGTGCACTGAGTCCGTCACCACAACACACAATAGAGAGAGAGAGAGATTCTTCTGTGTAGTGTTTTTCTTTCTGATGTGTTTGGCTCAGGTTCATTCGTATTCAGCTCTCGAGCTCTGAAGCTGCTTAAAACTTTCTTCTCACACAATGTCACTCACTCACTCACTCACTCACTCACTCACTCACTCACTCACTCACTCACTCACTCATGTTGTTATTCTAGAGGACCTTTCCCTTAAACACACTGGTTAGCATTCATTTACGAGAGCAGTTGTTCTCCGGTGACATTGACTTAATTTGGGATGCTGACTCAATGTCTTTCTGTAAGACAACTGCCTTATTTCTTTCTCCCGACGACCTGTAATAGGAGCTGTTATCCTGAGGTTCTGCAAGGCTTTAGAATAGCGTGTGTGTGTGTGTGTGTGTGTGTGTGTGTGTGTGCATGTTCGTCTGTTTGTATTATGGTAGAATCGTCAGCTACCAGTCACAGTGAAACAGCTGCAGAACATTACAGAGGACTCATGTGACCTGTAATAACACATTTTCCCAGCTGTCGAAAGTAAATCTAATTGGTGTTCTGAATAGTTTGCTATGGTTTGCACAGTGAAAGATATTATCATTTTGAAAAGGAACAAAGTGGATCTGTATTTGTTTTTATTTATATAAGAAGGGACAATGCACACGAATTAGCATGAGCACTTGAGTCATGTATATGTGCCAGATTTTGTCACAGAGGCGAGTTTTCATCTGCAGTCCCTGGTAGGCTGAGGATGGCATTAAAAGCACAGACAAAAACTCATGAGCACAATTAAAACACATTTAGACAATAAAAAGCACTTTAAACCCAACCTATAAGCACACAACAGATACCAAAGCACATACATATGCACAGATAAAAGCTAATAGGCACATACATTTACAAAAATAATGAATTAGCCCCTACTCATGTTTATGTAAGCATGTTTGATTGTCCAGTAACAACTGTTTTACAGATTAGGAGAAAGAGGGACCCTATTATGCTCATTCTTAGGTTCATATTTGTATTTTCTGCCTCTACTGTGACATGTCTCCATGCTTTAATGTTCAAAAAGCTCTTTATTTTTCTCATACGGCCTGTGCTGCAGCACCTCTTTTCACCCTTTGTCTGAAACCAGAGCCCAGTCTGCTCTGATTGGTTAGCTGGCCGGCTCTGTAGTGACTGTTAAGTCAACAGTTTAGAGATGTCCTGCCCCTTAGCCTATCACGTACAATGTGTTGGAGCATAGTCCCTATGTTATGGAATTAAACAAAGAAGTCCAATGGAGGCATTTGACGGCACAATAACCTATATAACACACTACAAGAAAGGGAAAATGCAAAAGCATAATCGGGCCCCTTTTTTATGTTTAAAATAAGAAATAAGTCAAACAAGTCAACAAAGGCCTTTGTCTGAACACAGATGAGCCGTTAGTGCTTTGGTTGCTCTTTGACCCAGGAGAACAGGTGAAAAATCGCAGAATGAACCCGAGGTCAGTCAGCGCCTCAGGAAAGGAGTTGAGAGGATAGTAGTGGAGCCCTTTAACTATAGAGTAACACACGGGCAGGGAGAGTGCAAGGACAACTTACTGAGGTGGAAGTGATTGATCCTGTCAGCTCAAACACACACACGCACGTTCACAGGCGTGCACGCACACACACTGCAATGGCCAGATTGAAAGTAGATCATTGTGCTTGACCGTTTAACATTTAGCCCCTCCTCCAGCCTGCAAACTGATCTCCAGTAGCATAGATGTACACACACTTACATCTAAGTACACACACGCACACACACATGCACAGACAAGCTCACCACGCTTATTAGTAGCTAATTGATCCACACTTAATCTGCTCTGATGGTTTGTCAGCCTGACAGTTAATCTAGCGGCCATCATACCAGAGGGAGCAGAGCGGCTGTCTGCAGAGACCTTTCCCTTAATCTGATTATAAATGTAACATTAATCACATACACTTAAAATAAATAAATACTGGATCCGGTGATGTTGCTTTATATGCAAACATGTACTGACATGATAAGTTGATTGACAAGTTTATGTGTCAAGTAATTGTTAAATTAATTTGTCAATGACACACAAACATGTCAAACATCCAGTGGTCATGACTTTTCAGACGTAAACATGCTTGTCTTTACTTTCCACAGCAAATGTAGTTATTTTGGTTCTAGGCCTAGGATGTTTTTCATTTTTAATTGTGACCTTTACTCGATTGACAAGCATGAAAAAAAGATTAAGACTAATAGACAGTTTTATTTTTATTATGAATTAATCTGTTTGTCCATTTTTACCCATATGACCCTCAAGGTCAGATTGTTTGTATTTCCAACCAAGAAACCCAATTATATATAGTTGAATATATGACCAAAGAACTGCTTGATATATGACTCGAATCATTAATTATTGATTTATTATCTAAAATATTTGGTTTTTGTTGACTATTTACTAGTTCAACTCTACACTTGAATTCATATGGAAACTAACACACTTTATAATGTCATTTTATATCACTGTATCTGTTATCCTATTGTTATTCCTTTAGCGTGACATATCAATAAAAGCTTTGGCCGTCATAGCGCAAGGTTTAATTATTTGAAGATTAATGCATTTTACTCTCTATGGTATTATCGTTGATTTTAAAGACACAATAGGTCAAACAGTGCATTAGTGGAGCACAGTACGCTTTTACCATAGATGTTTCAGACACTAAGCCTATAGATAATAACACAGGATAATACCAGAGACTAAGAATCTACCGAGCTTATCTCCCCCCTCCTCCCCCTCTCATCTTCTTTAACCTGTTGTGGACAAGCAGTCTAGCAATCTGTCGATGAACTCTCTCTCAACCCTGCTTAACCAACTGGTTTCTCATGAGAAAGAGATAATGTGCCAACAAAGAAACTGACAAATGACACAGATGCAGGTTGTTGCTTAGATTTGATACTTTATACTTCATTTGTGTCATTTTTCATACAATATGGCAGAACTTTCAGGTTTGGCCCAAGCCCCCAGGAAGTGCGCCGGACTCTGAGGAAAATATTCGTTGTGACCAAACGACGGTACTACACTTCCGTATCAGTCGCTGCGGCCGGAAATACTTTTTCCCATTGACTAACATTGGGAAAGAGACGTCTGTAAATCGTTGGATAATTTTTTTTTAACTAAATAAACTACCCAGTATGAACGTTTGTATAGCCCTTATTAAAAACATTCGGTCCTCAAGTTGTAAAATGTGCTAATAACGTTATTCTGAGTTATTTTCCTCTGCATTATGAACGCGGATCTAACCCGCGGGACCGCGCCGCCCGGCACGTTCATGTGACGTGTTCAGTACTACATGAGTTTTACCTTTACCCATGGATGCACAATAAGAACTGATTATATGATTATATGAATATTTTCGTGACGTTTCGCTCTCTCAAAAGTTGGGCCATTTTGTCTTCATGCGCCAATGAGCAACTCTCATAGGAATGAACGAGGCCCCGCCTCCTACGCTGTATCCAGTTCTTATTATACATCCATGGTTTGGCCTCTTAAATATATAGGCTTAATGTGTTTCTATTATATTAAACTAAACATACAAATACATCACCTTAGATTTTGGGATGGACATATACCCCCTGATTTATCCATTTATCTGGTAAATGATATGCAGATTATTTTATAATGAACATAATTGTAGTTGCTGCCTTATGACTGACTATCCTGCAAGTTGTTGAGCTCTGAAAACATGAATAAACATGCAAATGCCGTCTGTACAAGATCTTACATGGCCTAACCTCACCTCTGCGCAGACAGTCTATCAACACAAGGACAACTGGATATAGGTAAACAAGAGGTGCAGCCGGAGGAGAAGGCGTTATTACGCTTAGGAAAAGTTATTTTAGTCACAGTACAGAACAGGCAAAATTCAATTTATTTAAAACCTATTTAAAAGCATGGTAAGTTAGGAATCAGTTCTATCTATTGCATTGTACAGCCCTCTGTCTTTCTCTACTGCTTCAACCCGTGGCTTTCCACTGGCTATGCAATATGTATGTTATGTTTAATTATTTTTATTAGCATTTCCAGCTTTGAGATTCTATTTACTATTTATTTACTCATTATTTTAAATATATTTAGTTTTTATGGTGACTTTACATCGACAGATAAAACATATAGCCTCTTGAATGAGATCACCTTTTACTATTTAAACTGAGATTTTTAAACCACCTGAGCAGCGTGAATTTCCCAAGTTCATTTTAATTCCTATCTCCTAGCCTGTAGGCTGTAGTTAGAGACAATAGAAGTGCTCTGATGCCTCACCAGGGACTAAGGGTTGTGGTTCGGACTGCGTATCAAAGATTAGCGTTCTTCCCTCCCTTCAGATGTCACATTACACCACAGGTCACATCCTATTACAGACCGATATCAAATGGTGTCCTCTCCGCTGTAGTGCTCCACTGACCCACTAGCCGCGCTGGAGGAGAAGCAGCCCATCAGATTTAATGCAGTGCCCTTTTGCTGGCCTGGTAATAAATCTACCACTAATCACACTTTACTTTGAAATGCCCGACCTTGTTAGTCTGCATTGTTCCTCAATGTGAAAGAGATTTGTGCCTTTGAAGAAAAGCTGGTGACAGAATATCAGCTGCCTGCAGTGTGGCTGGTTAGTCTGAACAGTTATGTCTGTGATGTTAATGAGATTCAGGAATTTCCTTGGAAAAACAACATGCCAGATCAGTCTCCAGAGGTGGAACAGATAAGCAACAGACCGCATTTTGCATTAACAATCCAATCCCAATGGAGATACAAGTGTTGTTAGCCATGTTTCTGAGGATGAGGACTTTCCTTGGAATAACACTGCATACCAAATCAGGCTCCAGAGAATAAAAGCCATCTTAATCAGATAAGTACATGTTGTCCTAGATATCCAAAATGTATCTTATTGGAGATACAAGTGTTTTTAACCATGTAGCAATAATGGTTAGTCTGCCCATGTTTTTGCCAAATATCAACAATTATTTGATGGATTTCCAAGAGATGTTCTACAGATATTTATGTGGTAGCGCTGACCTGATGATGACCTGGAAATGGTTTACGACAAAATACAATACAACCATTGACAAACCTTTCAGCTTCACATCTACTTTGTTCTATTCTTATAAGCAAATGTAAGGATTACGCGCTAAATCTCCCAATTACAGTAGTGAAGGCGGTAAACATAATACTCTCTAAACATCACAACATTATCATTGAGCTTTTGAGCATATGTGCGTGTTGAAGCATGGCTGTAAATGATTAATTTTTAACCCTGGAAGAAGCCCCCTCAAGTTTGAATGTTACGGTTGTAAATGATTCTGATTTAGACCTTTTCAAACCTGAAGAGGTCAAATAATCCTGTAATTCAAAAGACAAAAAGAAAAGATCTGAGAACAAATGTTAATCAGAAAATCAAAAATCAGAATCACAACAGGTTTATTGCCAGGTAGGTTCAGACATATGAGGAATTTGACTTGATGTCATGGTGCAGACATAAAATATAAAACAAGAAATCTTTAAGGACACCGTAATAAAATATAGTTAAATAGCAATAAAATAAAGCAGTAATTTACATGGAAATAGAATGCTATGAATGAATTATAGGATATAAAATATGAAATATGAAACAAGAAATATGTGCAGTAAGCAGTATGAACATTGTGTGCATTAATGTGATGCATATAGAGACTACGTTGTGGCTGAGGTAAGTGTCAGTGGGGGGGGCCGGGCCTTGTTTAAGAGGCCGGTAGCGGAGGGGGAAGAAACTGTTCAGGTGGCGAGAGGTTTTGTGGGAATGCAATTTCCTTGCTTTCCTATGCTGTTATTTATCTTGCAACCCCACAAATGTAACATCTAGGTCCAGACGTCTATGTGGGGAAACACTGGCCCAAACCTTTATACTTTACATTTCCTAACAAAAATCCCTAATACATGCTTTACATTAAATGCTTTATGTAAATGAAGTCTATTCTGGCACACTCAATTCACACGCATGTTTACAGTAGAGAAATCGCTGCAGGGTGAGGAAATTGCTGGCTGGCAGGGAGGAAAAAATCAAGTCAGCACGAAACGCAGCAGTAAAGAGGCCCGGGAAGCCAGGAAGTCTGTGGGAATCTCAGAGGTGGAGACAGATTTTGTTATCATTCGTGGAGGAGACCCCACAATAACACTGTTGCTGTTTCTAGAAGGACTGTGGCACCATTCCTTTGTCGACTGTAAGCAGTGTAGCAGGTGGACATTTCTGTTTTCCAGAAACGTGCCTTTGTCTCTTCTTCATGGCCCTGCACCACAAGGACTTTTCCAGACATTTACTGTGTGTGTGTGTGTGTGTGTGTGTGTGTGTGTGTGCGTGCATGCGTGCGTGATAAAAACAGATGTAATCAGTTCCAGACAAATTGCTGTAACAGCCCTCATCCCTATCTTCAACCATTTCTCCCTTTTTGGTTTTCACTTCAGTCGTGTCCTTTTCACATCTCCTTCTTTTCCTGTCTCTCGAGCGTCTCTTTTTGTTCCAAATGTAAACCCCCCCCTCCCCCAGCCCTTCCTACTTTTACACTTCAAAGCTTTTAGAGGGTGTGTGATCTGTGTGGTGGGTCTCTGCAGCACTTCCGCTCTCTCCATGGAGGTGTGCACGTTTGATGGTGTGCAAATGTGTTTTTCATGGAATCCATCAAACAGCCATTTAACAGCTACTACTTTATGGCCGCAAATAGCTGCAGAGAGAAACACGATCTGTGCATCTGTGCACGTCTGACTGCACAGGAAGAACCAAATCCTCTGTCTGTCTTTGTGTCTTGGTTTCTGCTCATATCAACTGATTTGCTTCCTGTATATATAACCCACTTCCTTAATTGTCCCTCATGATAATGACTGACGTTTGACAGAAATCGTTCAACATAAACTGAAATTTGACACAGTTTTTCTTTTTGAATCTCTCCTCTCTCTAGTCCATTTTGCTGCTGGGCTCTGTGGCGTTGCTGTGTCTGGGCCTGGACCTCATCTTTCTCCTCTTCTACTCTTTCTGGCTCTGCTGCCGGAGACGTAAGAGGGACGACTCGTCTCACTCTCACACTCACTCCCAGCAGCCCAGCCCTGACTGCTGCTGCACCGCCTGGTGCGTCATCATCGCCACGCTCGTCTGCAGGTGAGAGGTTCTCCCCATCAGATTGTGAAGACTTAGTATGCATGTATTGTTGGAAGATGTTAGACCCCACTTCAACTATAACATTGTTTTATGCAGAATGCTTCAGTGAGTTAGGGTTAATATGTTTAATCATCATCCCCAATTAAAGCAATTGCCCTGTAGTCTTAAGAGGATTTTTTTAATCTTTTCTCCGGGGATTGATGAGGCACTGATTCGCTGGCTTTGTAATATAGTACAGCCTGTTGCTGTACAGCTGCACAGGCAATATCACTAAAACTGACACTATGTTAGTCACATAGTTACCCAATTAACATTATGTGCACCGCGTTGCTTGTACATTGGTATGGTACATTTCCTTTAATTACTATATATGGATATTTCTACCCATTCTATACACATTTTCTAATTAGCACTTTAAAACTGAAGTGAAAAGCCATAACTCGTTTTTAACTACTTGATAAGGTTGAGAAGTTCGGGAGAAGATGCACTTTTACATGCTTCCAATCCACCAGTCACTCCAAAAATAGAAAATGTATATTGTTATAGTGTCAGCGACAGATAAAACTGCATCTTCCCAGGTTCACATCCAGACGGGGGCCATTGTTACATATCAACATAACAGCTGATAAAAATACTGCATTGTCAAATAAATCATAATGGATTCTCATTCTCAACAAATAAATGCCATCCTAGCTTGGAAACAAAAACAAAAAGTCATAACATATTGGAGCTACTAGAATCCTAATACATAATCCAAAGAAACACATTTTATTTTGCAGACATTTCAGACGTTGGCTTAAAACTAGAATAAACTTGCAACCCAACATCCAATGTAAGTATTCTGAAAGAGATATGATAAGCCCCGTATTGCAGTTGTGGTTAGACATAATCACATTTTTATTCCAGTGAAAATGTGATCTGCTCTTCTGTGAGTTTTGGAGTGGGTAGTCTAAGGAAATCCTTTTTTGAAAATGATTGAATAAAGTCAAACATGTACTGCCATCCAGCAGAAAACATGGCTGCTCTTCTCCCTTCTTGCAATGCCAGCATTTTGGATGTTCACGATGTTCCCTGGACCGCAGTCATATGAACATAATGACTGTAAATCGACCTACATTTACACAAATCAAGTCCACTCGGTCTTATTTAAGCAGGAAGGCCCATGTGGTGTAACTGGGAGCCAGCCATGTGGTTACACTCCACTGTTTGTGTTTATCTGACTCTGAAGGCTGTGTAAACTGTGAGATATTTCAGACATCGACCCAGCAGCAGGGCACAGAGTATTGTGACCACAGACGCTGAGCCGCAGTGTGGACTCTGCTCTTCTAATCACACTCGCATGCACCCAAAAACATACAAACTATTCCTCTATCATTTACTCCCCCCCCCGATCACTTCTTTCATCCCATATTCTCCCCCGTCTTCCCCTTTTCTTCATCTCTCTCAGTCTCCCTCCCTTATTTCTTATTTCACTCTGATTGGTCTTCTCCCTGGCCTAGAAAGGTTACCATGGAGACAGAAGCAGATTTGATGCAGAGACGAGAAATAAATTATACAGTCAGAGGGAGCTATGTCTGTCTGTGTGTGTGTGTGGGTGTGTGTGTGTGTGTGTTTGCGTGACTCAGTGCCGAAGAGAGTTTTTTTTTGCGCTTTTTAATATTTTATGATTAGCTTTAATATTTCTTATTGAATATTTTATATGGACCTGAGTATGTGTGTGTGTGTGTGTGAGAAAAGAGTGTATGTGTGTGTGCGTTCCTGGTTTGCTCATGCGATTCTTTGTTCTCAATTTAATATGACATCATACCTTATTTTTGGCTCAGCACCAACCACATGTGTGGGCTTCCTCCATTTGTGTGCAGGTGCAGAGTGTTTGGATAGGAGAGGCTGCTTCTTGATTTAGTGTTTGTGTGCATGTGCTACGTGGAGAGTATGTGGTGCTACAACAATCAGTCTTTTAATGGATCAGTCAATCAACAGGAAATGTATTTAATTGTTTTGATTCTCAAATATTTGGAGATGGATCCTGCTTTTCCAGAATACATTGAATATCTCTGGGCTTTGGATTGATGGCAAAAAAACAAGTAATTGTAGGATATTGTGGACTGTGGACATTTATATTTGTCATTTTTTTCCTATTTTTTCGCGTGTTATAGGCAGAAATACTTCTTTATTCTCTTCTTACATTTTTAAACCCAAAGAATGAGCAAGAGATTACTTAATAAAACAGTATGGCATGGTGATACATCACTCCAATCTTTCCCCAAGACTTGTTCTTTGTAATAATTCTTTTATTTAGGTGACATGAGGCCAAGTATGACAAACTGAATCTGCAGCTGACCATGACTCAATAAATGAACAGCTCTAACACTGAATTTTTATTTTTATTATTACAATCATAAAATTCTTATTAAAGTTACATTTCTTAGTATTTCATTCCTGGTTAATTTTCCAACACCGCCCGTGCTGCATGTAGGGCATTTTAATCCAGCCTGGGAATGGCGGGCTCAGCAGTAAGGATCAAAGCTACTTAATAGATGTGTATACATTCATTAATGCATGGGTAAATGTCAGCAGTACTTCGTATCAAAAATGGCGTTTGATCATAAACATGTGAAGGATTATAACTTTGATGTTGCTTGGGTATGAGATGGTGAGACCCAAAGAGCTCATTAAAGTCAAGACGAGCGTCAATGCAGATCAGACTGAGGCCTAAAGAATAATCATTATCAGTCTTATATTGCAGTATTTTTTCACTAAAGGGCATTAGGTGTCTGTGTGTTGTCAACTGTTTACATGCAGTTTGTGTGATCAACACACACTAGGGCTGTGCGATTATGGCAAAAATCCTAATCACGATTATTTTGGTCAATAATTGATATCCCGATTATTAAAAACGATTATCCATTTACTTTGAAAACATCCATTTATTGAAACAAAAATGTGAACAGTATGTTTTTAACAGTTGATTACCCTGAACTTTAAGTATAATTCAACTGAAAAACCAAAAAAAAAAAAATTAAAAAATAATAATAATTACATTTTTTTTTTTTTTTTATAAAAATAATAATCGTTTTATTTCGATTACGTTGTTTTCGTAATCGTTGCAAGCCAAAATCGTAATCGGGATTAAAATACGATTAATTGCACAGACCTAACACACACTGCTCTACGTACCGAGTATAAAATGAGACATGTCATTTAGCTGTACCGCTAATTGCATGCATTTCTTTTGGATACAGTTTGGTTTGGACCCATCATGGACCCAGTTATTTCACTGACTACAACATGTACTGTCTCATCCACTGAGCTCCAGTTGCATGCATGTTAGTGTGCTCATTTAGCTACAGCAAAGCATTATAAGCTTTATTATGTCCGTCCTTTTCACCTGACATTAGAGTTAAGCAGCACTTAATCTCACAGTTAGCTTTAGTTCAAAGTGGTTGCTGTAACTTAAATATCTCAGTGATGTATGTGTAGGATCATTTCCTTTGTTCAAAGCTAATTTGGCTAATGTTTGTCAGCAATTATTGGACTTCTGAACCAGTGTCTACCTTCCCCCTCCCTGTAATGTATCATATCCTAAACTGTGGTTGATTAAATAGTACACACACACACACACACACACACACACACACACACACACACACACACACACACACACACACACACACACACACACACACACACACCGACCGTTGGCAATGACATCGGGAGAAACCTGGGGTTAAGACATGTTGGTCACTATTGCTGGGATAACCCTTCTGATTGGAAGACGACCGCATCAACTCACAGCCAGTCGCCCCTGGTAATAAAGTCAATAATCCCCTGATTGGAGCAGCAGGTATTAAACCAGCCAGATAAACTCATAGAGAGAGGAAGGATGAAGGGAAGTGGAGAGAGAGAAAGGAGTGGCAGGAGGGGAGAAGATGATGAGTAAACAGGAGTGAAGAGGGAGAGGATTTACTGGTTAAACTGAGAGGACATGAAGGACGGAGTGAGATGGTGGGCGTCAGGATGGGTGGGGAAGTTGTCAGATAAAACAGAAGATATTTACTCAAACATACGGAGCACATTAATGTGTCTCCATGCCTTTAATCATCTTTAGTTGCTTTCTCTTGTCAAGCTTGTTTCCCTCTGTATTTGTTTTTTTTATGTCAGATGTGAAGTCCATCGTTTAGCTCTGAAACACACTCTTACACAAAGGGGTGTGTGTGTGTGTAAACCAGCTGTAACGCGGGGCTACTTAAGATCTAATGGGCTAGAATGAATTGCTTTAACAATGCCCATAAATTTCCCTCCACAAATCTGTCTGTTGTTAGTGCACAGACAGAGACATCATCAATACAATGAGGGCAGTCATACACACACACACACACACACACACACACACACACACACACACACACACACACACACACACACACACACACACACACACAGTACACATACAGTACACAAAGACAAAAGAGGGGGCTACAAGAGCTTTGCCTGGGCGAGTGAGAAAATAAGAGCATCATGGGGAGGGGCTGAGTGGGAAAAAGGGTCAGATGTGAAGGACTAAGTGTAAAGGGGATAAGATGGTGGTGGTGGGGGGGGATCATGTGGGCGGGGTTGTTGTGGTTTGAACTTGATTAAGGGGCACAAGGTTTTAGAAGAAAGAGTGTTGGGGTCATGAACCTCAGATATTGTGTAGCATGTGTCATGTGTGAATGTGGATGCAGAGCTGCAGAAGGATCATATTATGTGCGGTCTGTTGACCCAATTATTGTGTAGATTCTGTGTGTGTGTGTGCTCGTGTGTGTGTGTGTGTGTGCAGTCCTGTGCCTGCTGGAGGCTGGGTGGGGGGGGGGGTGACACCAAATCAAAGAGCTCAGCGCCCCCTGTTGCTGTTTAACAGAGGAACTATATTAATGACTTGACATCTTGATCCATTATTGTGTGTGTAGGGCTGCATCATCTGAGGAAAATATGCAATAACATTTTTGAATATCGATATAACTTGCTATACATTTTTTATATAAAAGTCTATTCAATTCTACCTTTCTGCTGCTTTCAGTACACTGCAAAAAAATCAACAAATTGCTTATAAAAAAACAATGCAAACAAATATCTTCGTCATTCTTTTATTGAATGAATTAAACAAAAAGACAGCAAAACTCGATTAAGTGAATTCAGTTCTACCTTTCTGCTGCTTTCTGTAAACTTCAAAATCTTTACAAATTGCTTTATAAATAAAAAACAATGGAAGGAAAGGATTTCCAACATCCAAAAAGTGAATGATAAAGATTTTTTAAAGTCATTCAAAAGAAAGTAGAAGTAGAAATCAGCACTTCAAAATGTAACTGCAATTTTAGAGCCTTTGAGCTGTTTTTATTTCCATTCATTTCAAAACCATAGACATGCCCAAGGACACTTAGACATATTGACTGCAGTGCAGGGGTTTGGGATTGAACAATTTACTCTCTGATTGGTAAACACTCATTTACCCCCTGCTCCACAGCCACACAAGCAGATAACGGTGTTGATGTTAGAAAAACGATAAACTGTTCGGCCCTTGTTGTGAGTCTGCATGTATGAATGTGAGAAAATGAAAAAAAAACGATTATTGAACTCACTCATCCATATTGATTACGTTTATGCCATCCGATGGTTGAATTAGTCATTGTGTTAACACTTGGCACTTCCTGTTTTCTGCCCTCCAGCGCTGGCATTGCCGTGGGTTTCTACGGAAACGGGGAGTCGAGTGATGGGGCCAATCGTTTGGCCTACTCCCTCCGTCACGCCAACCGCACCGTGTCCGGGGTGGAGAAACTGGTGAGTGGCCTGCTGGATCCCTACACTGCACCAATGTCAAATAAATAAGGAAATATATACGACACGATGCGATGATACTTCATTGTCAGAGCGAGTCTGAAATGTTTCTTGCATCAGAGCAGCTCCATTTGTAACGTCAACAAGGACCAATATTCAAGACAAGATATAAGGGAACCAACATTTAACATAACATTACAATCACTGAAGAGAACCAGGCCCTTTAACTTAGGATTGACTGGTGCACAAAAGAGAGCTTCAGTCTAACTTTTTTAAATCGTGGAACCCTGTATCTCCGATTTGAAGGCAACAATCTATATGAACTGTTCAGGACATGGTTGGGTTCAGAGATGACGTTGGACAGCCTCAATATGTTATCATGGTAGGCTGATTCATAGAGTCTCTCAAAAGGTTGACCTACTATCTGAGCAGATTTCCAACTGGTGGAGCGGTTTTGACTTTAAAGCATTAGACAAACACTTGCAATACTCTAGACCAGCGGTTCCCAACCTTTTTCAACTCAGGGGTTGCGGCCCACATTCAACCATAAACAATACGTAAATAAAGTTCTGATTGGTCAATTCAGAACATGTGACACGTTGTTAATACAGTAGTACAGACCGCTGTCAAGGACTGTAATGACCGTTGCTAAGGAGGATCAAGAAAGAGAAAGGGAAAGAAAATCTTAATAATGAAATGTTTCCACACAAATCATAATGTTTTGCAAATTATTTGGCGGCCCACTTGCAATGCGTTGGCGACCCATTAGGGGGCCGCGGCCCACAGGTTGGGAACCGCTGCTCTAGAACAAAAACAGAAGAATAATTTGTCCTCTCGCATCGAAGGACCTAATATGATCCATCAAAGCTGATTTGTGTTTCCTGTGAACGTCCAGGTGACGGACAGCGCTCTCGCCTTGAACCAGACGGTGGAGGAGAGCTTGGTGCAGCTGGAGACGGCCTATCAGGAGCAGACGGACTACGTGTCCATCGTCCAGAAGCTGCAGGGCCAGCTGGACGAGCTGGTGCGGCTGATGGTGGACGTTCCCTTCTGGTCCAACACCGACATCTCCCTGGAGGACTTGGCCCGCAAGACGGAGGCGTTTGATTTTTACAGGTCAGTTCTTACAAGTATTGATATGTGTTCGTGAGATACAAAGTATTTGCTGGATGTGCAGAGGGGAATCTGCAAAGTTATGGTGTGGTCTCCACCTCGAAGAAGTGATTTTATTAGGACTGTACAATTATTGGAATTCAGACTTGGGCAATATTCAAATGGAGGAAAGTGCAATATTTGGTAAAGGCTAAATACATCAAATATATTTAGGAATAAAGTGTTGTGGTGCTTTGGAGGAGTCCCAACGTACACATAGGTTTGTAACAGATTATCTAAAAAAAAAACACACACCTGGATGATTGAAATATATTTTTATGTTTAAAAAATGATCTAATGATGATCTAATTTCGTCAATGATTTTGCAATTGCAATATCACATAATAACCACAATTAGATGTTTTTCAAAATTGTGCAGCTCTTATTTTTATGTAAAGGGACTTCCTATTGAAGTAAAGATTAAAAAACGAAAAAAATAGGTTATTCATACAGTATTATACAAACAATAAATGAAACCACTAGGGCGTGATAAATACGTTAAACAACCATTACAACAATGGAAAGAGTAGATATTACAAATCCCAGTGAATGAACCAATGCCATTTTTTTTGCTTTCATACCTTATAAGTCAAAAACCTTGAATAAAAATGAGCTAGTGATGTAATTCTCAGTTTGACCCTGATATATGTGAATGTCCTACACCGTGTATGGTAAAGCATTAATCAGCTGATGTGCTTTGCTTCTAATTAGCAGCTGGTTTAGTTATGTAAGATCCCCTATTTGTCCTAAACACTGTGTAAATGTGTGTGTTACAGGTGGTTGGGGTATCTCGGCCTGCTGCTGTTTGATGTACTCATTTGCCTCCTGGTGCTCTTCGGCCTGATACGCAACTCTCGAGGCACTCTGATTGGGTAATCTACATTACATCACTCTCCAAAACCTGCTCCTATTGGACGATCCGAGTCCTTTGTACACTCTGAATCTGTGTGTGTTAGAGCACCTCATGTTGCTCACTTTAACGACATGTGTGTGTGTGTGTGTGTGTGTGTGTCCCATAGAGTGTGTCTGCTGGGTGTTTTGACTCTGATAATCAGCTGGGGGTCTCTCGGCATGGAACTGGCTGTCGCTGCTGTAAGTGTAACCATGGCAACATCGCAGAGCTCCGCAGTGATGTAATCTTTTTTCTTTTTCCCACCGCTCGAGCGAGTGTGTTCTCAGTGTACTGTAGGCTGATGGGTCGTGTGTGTGTTTGTGTTTGCTCACCCTCTTACAGTCAGCCAGCGACTTCTGCGTCTCCCCGGATACCTACATCACCAGGGTAACCAAGGAAAATGCTGTCATCGACCAAGGTACGCAGACTATAAAATACAGAACCAGCGATCAGAATTTTTTTTAGGTTTTTGTGATATAAAACAGGGTTTCCAAAACATTCAGACTGAGTGAATCATCAAAACAATGCAGCCTCTTCCTCCAAACACTTCTTAGAGAGTCAAACCATAGACTGTTTTTACGTTTCAGATTGTTTTATTTTAGTCTTTTTAGATGCCTGAAGACATAAAACAGTACAGTATGCCATAAGAAAAAGCAAAGATTCTTCTTGCCATTGTCTTTCACAACCGCTCATCATCTGGGGGTAAATTACAGACTCCACACCGCTGGAGAAAGCGCCATAAACAGCATAAAGCAGTGTTTCCAAAACATTCAAGCTCGTGAATCATATAAGAAAGCAGTGTCTACATGCAAACACTTCTTACAGGTTAAACATGTCCAACAATAGACTCTTTTCTTTGTTTTATTCAAGTATTTTTAGATGCTTGAAGAGATCAAACAGTGCAGTATTGCTTAGGGGAAAAAAACAAGAAGCTTTGTACCATTCCTATTTCACAACCACTCATATTTATGACAACTGGGGATGACTTTAGGTTCTGCTGTAGAAAGACAACACATATTATAATTTGTGATTATAAAGTATGTATTATAATACTGGACCACGAAGAAGTAAGGAATAATATGATTGGTCAATGGACCGCTCAAAGGCAGATACTGTACATCAACAAATAAGCAGAAACATCTTGAATATACTTCAGCATCCACACTTGAGTCTCACCCTGACATGTGGCTTCTATTTTAAGCAGGAAGTGTGTGTGGTCTTGCATGTATGATATGTGTGTATCCGAGCGGATCGTGTTTGAGTGACACTTTGGTATCTAAAAGCTCTTCCTCCCTCTGCTGACTGCAATGCATCAGCAACTCTGCTGCCTCTCGCTCTCATCCTGCCTATCCCAAATGTTCAAAACAAACATATGAAACCCTCAGAGCACATTACGGCTTTTTCTCTCAGGATCATTATTTGATTTGATCTCTCTCTCTGCATCCTTCTATGTCCCTCTTTACCTCTCAATTACTCCCTTTCCTCCTCTCCCTCTCCCTGTGCACTCTCATCTAATGAGTCCTGTTGGCTGTCAGTCGTTTCCGCTCTGCAGCGCACAGATGTTGCCTCTGTCACACACACACACACGCACACGCACACACACACACACACACACACACACACACACACACACACACACACACACACACACACACACACACACACACACACACACACAATTAGCAGTATGCCTGAGTGATACTGCTAATGCAAGCCTCATTGGAGAGCCTGGGTCTTGTTTGCCTTTCTTCAGCAGGCGTTTTTAAATATTCCTAAAGTCCCCAAACATAAAATGGGTGATGCAGCTTTTATTCACTACGCTCCCAAACTTTGGAAACCCTATACCAGGAAATATCAGAGAGGCAAACTCAGTAGACACTTTTAAACAACAGCTGAAAACAGATTTATTTTATTGCTTTCATTAGCGACATGTTGGTCTTCCTTTGTTTAAATGAGAGGGTTATTTGACTTTGTGTATTAAAAGTGCAATACAAATAAAGCTTATTATTGTTATTTATTTAATTCTACTGTATATTGTAAATACATGTATTATTATTATTATTCTATTCATATGTATGTATCTATATCTGTTTTCCAGATATCCTGCAGTATTACCTGAGGTGCAGCCCTGGCCAAATCAACCCCTTCCAGCAGGTAACATCACCATGTTGTCATATTCTTTTATATAATATATTTATTTAATTCTGGAGTACTGTACATAACTAAAACATATATGTGTGTATGTGTGTCTCTGTTTGTCTCTTGTGTCTCTGTGGTGTTTTGCAGAGGCTGTCAGGGAGTCACAAAGCATTGGTGGAGATGCAGGATGATGTGGCAGAGCTACTGAGATCAGCAACACGTGAATATGCCAACACCAAGGTGTGTGTGTGTGTGTGTGTGTTCGCGCGCGTGTGTGTTTGTGTGTTTGTGTGTGTGCAATGATCTGTATGTCTTTATTTTCACGGCTGAGTGGACTTGCTTTAGAGCGTGATGAAAGTGGCAGTTACAAAAGTGGCACGTGTTTATCCGGTGTGTGTGTGTGAGGATGCACATGGAGGCGGATAACTATATTTTTGATGAATGTTGTGTCCTCGTGCTAAAAGTTGTTTTTTGCGCTCGATTTTCATTCACCTTTTACCTTTTTTATTTGTTTATTTTTACCACTGTAAAGTGTCTTTGAGCACCTGATAAAGCCAATCAAATACGTGCAATTACGTATCTGCCACTATGTTTTTTTGCTCTACTAAATACTGTTAATATTCACATTCATTATGTGACCGTCTATGTTTCCTGTAGATACTGAATTGCTCTTTTTACTGCACTGTTAGTGTACAGTTTTATTATTATTATGCTGATGTGTTTAATGTATTTTTGTAACTCTGGCACAGCAATTTCCTTCAAGATAAATAAAGTCCTATCTTATCTTATCTCTTATCTTAAAATGCATTATTATTATTATTTGAGCATGCCTGGGTAACATTTGTCTTGATGCGCAGGGGACTCTGGAGCAGATCCAGTCGGTGCTGAACTCCACCGAGGTCGGTCTCCACCAGCTGACCGCCCTGGTGGACTGCCGCAGCCTTCACATGGTGAGCCACTCCGCGTGTCGTGTTTGAAAGAAACAACTCCTCATTTCCAACACGTTCTAAACAGCAGACTCTTCTCTCCATGCAGGACTACGTTCAGGCGCTGACCGGGCTGTGTTACGACGGGGTGGAGGGCGTCATCTACCTCGTTCTCTTCTCCTTCGTCACCGCTCTGATGTTCTCCTCCATCGTCTGCAGTGTGCCACATACCTGGCCTGGCAAGAGGTAACACACACACACACACATACACACATAGTCTCTCTGAGAAGCACACACACACGTCTTTACAATCCTTAATCTGAACACTAACATCTAACATGTAACTAGTTCTAACTTCGAAGTGGTTTAACGTGACTTTACGACCTGCAGACAGTGGAAAGAGCCATAAAGAATCCACTCAGTGCCATGCATGTCATTCTTTAAGTGTTTTTGCCTCCTGAGCTGTTGTCTGTACGTCCTCCTGCCTGTCTTTGCACCATCTGCAAGTTTTCTTTGTTTTACCGTTAGCACTGCCAGTCTGGCTGATTGTCTGTTTCCATGTTTATACTTATCTCTCATTTTTCTTTTCCTCGCTGTGGACTTGGAGCTCCAGTTTTGTGTTAGATTGTTTTTTTTTTCTGTGCCCCACTTCCTCCTTCTGTTCCGTCCCTCTCTCCTCTCTCCCTGTCCTGATTTGGAAATGCTTCGGGCTTCAGCGAATGATGGTGGATATCGAGGAATTAAACGACCCTATGGTCCCATAAAAACAGCCTGTTCCGATAGCCATTCAAACAAATCAATAATTAGCAGGGAACATCAGTGCGAAGAGCTCTAGACTGATGACTTTCACTCTGATTGTAATCATTAAACACAGCTGTGCCACAATAGTCTGTTTTTACGCTCGGTTTTTCGGTGTGAATTACCAATAAATGCTAATGCATGGCCCAGCAGGTGTTAAACAATAATCCATCATGTCCCCGATTTTAGCAGAAGTAACTGCTCATGGGGTCAGTTGCATATTAGCCTGACTGTCCTGCAGCCGTCTGTTTGATAAGCTGCACAGATTAGCTCTTTGTTGGTTTCCTGAGTGAAACACTGCCATCTGGTGGCCAGTCAACGCAGTACGTGTCTGAAAATACCGTAGGATATTCCAATAAACCAAATCTGTCCTCCATACAGCTCCCGCCATCTTTACTTCTTTGAAACATAACCAGCCTCATGTGGGTTTGTTAATATGGGTACAACTGGTATAGACCTCCCAAAAACAACAAAGAAGAAAAACCAATAGCCTTGAAGATAGGGTCTACATGTATTTTGTGGTTGACCTATACATTTTAGAAGCCAGTACATTTCTGTAGCCAGAGATCCAACTTCCAAATCAGCACACATCTTATTTGATGCCTCATTCTGTTACGTTGCTGGCCGTTTATTTTTTTACATTTTTGACCATTTTATGTCTGAAAATGGTTTTGCCTAAACCAGCCATGTTATCTCCTTTTTTCCTGATGTTTTTGCTTTTAAGTTTCATGGAGCGCTCAGTGATGCATGAAGTACTTTGAAAGAGAATAATCTAACTTTGATTCAGATTAGACAAATTGAGATGGACAGTAATTATGAAGACATTTCAATAGAGAATGACTGCATGAAGAAAAGATAATGCATGTTTCTACATATTAGGACAACTTTTAGAATATTGAAGAGTTATTTTTACCTTTGTATAGTTAAATGTAAAAACACAAACATCAGCTTCATGGGTCCACCCTGGGCTGTGTAGTGATATGAGAGACCCTGATGTACTTGTAGTGGACGTGTGTTGTAGATGAATGCTGCCCATGTTCCTTTTCTTCTTGTTCAGCTGCTTTGGTGCTGGAGGCATGGCCTTACCCAGTGTTTTGTATCAGAGGACTCCACATAGCACACCTTCCCCCTCTCCTAACCTCCTCTTCACTTGTTTACACTCTGTTGTCTCTCTCGGATCTTCCTCCCCTCTACCCCCCTCCCCCTTATCCATCATGCCCTCTCGTGCCCTGCCCTAACCCTGACCAATTGAAGGACGGATGAGGAAGACGGAGAGGACGAGTCGGGCGCCTCACGGGGCGGTGTGCACGATAACCTGTACCGCGTTCACATGCCCAGTCTCTACAGCTGTGGCTCCAGCTACGGTAGCGAAGCTAGCCTGCCCGCTACCGCCCACACTGTCAGCAATGCCCCCGTCACTGAATACATGTGAGTTAGCACCCACCGCTGGCTGGAGGCTAGCAGGATCAATACACTTCCTGCCATAGGTAGCTGATGCTTGCCCCCCTCCCCCCCCTGACCCAGACGAGCAGCATAGCTACGCTCACTGCCTGCAATACGCTAAGTTAGAATAGCTGTAGCACATCCCTCAGGACACTTTGTCAGCAATGCTTCACTCAGCGAGTTACAACCCTTCACTAGCTTTCCCTGTGATGCTGATAGAGAAGCAATGCTGCCTGTTTCAGTTCACGATGTAAGCAAAAAAAACAGATTCAAGTTTGCACTCAACAATAACGTAAGTTTATACTTTCACTACGGTTTGCCAAAGGAGTGCTTGCTCTGAATACAACACATAATACAGCAATTGGCTTTAGTCTGCCACTGCTTGCTGCTACTTTAGCTGTGAGCACATCTAGTACTTTGTGCTGCTTATTGCTACAAAAAGATCTTTAACTCTGCAGCCAGGGTTAAGCAAACAGACACTACCTATCATTTGGCATTGTGAGATTTTGGACCAATAATCGAAGGCTTGTAGCTCTCTGACTGTCACCATCAGGGATCAATTCGACTGTTCAACACAAAATGCAAGATATTAAGGACATAGTCATTTACTATTTGGAAATTACCAATACATTCTTTTTACATATTTGCTATGGGTACACACACACACACACACGCACTGATAAAAATACAATTTCACTGAGCCAGTGTCCCTTTGTTAGACTTCATGTTGATCTTATGTGCATTGTTAACCCTTAGATGCACGAGTGCCTGGACCCTACACTCTTCCATAAGTGGGTCAAAAAGGACCCGTATTAGAATAATATGTGTTTTCATGCCATTTTTGTCATTTTGGTTAAGAAAAATCACTTGTATGATATTAATATTATATTTTGGTTCTCACTAGAAACATTTTATATTTAATTTTTCACTATTTATAATTTTAGAAATGTTTTTTACATTTTGAAAAAAAAATGAAATTCTATAGAAATGTTTGACCCACTTATGGAAGCTTGGGGTAGTAATACAAAAACTACAATTTCTTAAAATGTAAATTTCAAATTTGAATGGCATGATATCCAAAACATGTTTTTTGAGGAATAGCTGGAATATGAAATGATAAAAAAATGTAATTACAAAGATACTTCAAGGAAACCACCTCACCGGGTCCAAAAAGACCCACTTATGCATCTAAGGGTTATGAAAGAATGTAAAGTATGTTGGACTGAGGTGTTTCACCCCTGGCTTTATGGTAACACACATCTTAAGCCCCTGACTTGTAATTATCATTGAGGCCATTTATCATTGAGAGTCATTAATCGGGCCACAGAGGGACATCAGCTGGACCCTGAGCACCACATGCAGTAACCTCTGATTCTATAATGCAGGAGCCAGAACGCAAACTTTCAGAACCCTCGGTGTGAGAACACCCCCCTGATTGGCAGGGAGTCCCCTCCACCCTCTGTAAGTGCACACTTTCTAGAACACACTCTCCCTCCACTATCTTCCAATACCCACAGTGCAGCTGGGAAATATATAAAAACCGCAGAACCCACATCAACGGCATTTTATCATCTCAGAAAGTAACTGAGGAAGCATGGTATTGATAAATGTACTCACGTCTGATGTTAGAGCGTGCTAGTGTGGATATTGGAAGGTAGTGCCCTATCCCTACACCACTGCAAGTGTCCTCTGTGCTCAAAGTAGTCCGTGATCATGGAACCCGTATGAAGGTCATTTTGGCAGCCTGGGAAAACTGGAAGTTTGAAAAGACGTCTGTTGTTTTTTAGGAATTTGCACTTGCATCAAAAGTGTTATCGTCGAGTCACGTTAGACACACAGTTGTCCTCTATTTCTGATGTATAAAGTCTGGTTGGTCATGTGAGGAGAACTTGTTCAGAGACACTGAAAGGATATTTTTGGTAGCGTATCAACCTTTTTCTTACACACCAAAAGACACAATACTGCCACAAATGCACCTCTTGTTTTAACTATTTGCGACTATTCCTGCTTTGACGAGGTGCTGCTGGGCCTGTAGTTGTGCGTTTCGGTTCCATGCAGAACTGTAAACATTCGGGGGCTACAGAACTGTGGATTTACCTAATTTAATAAAAAAGAATCTACTAATATTAAACCTTCTAGGACACAATTCTTTCTCCTCATCAACTGGCCGAGCCCTGCAGTGAAGATGAAACAAATTGAGCCCAACCCTCTAAACTTCCTGCCCCTCCCCCCTGTCCCCACAGTGTGTCTATGTGTGCATTTTCTCGTCGAGGTGTATGTGTCCTCTGTTTCTGTGCCCCCTCACCTTTCACCATTAAACAGTAACAGGAGCACACGTTTCCCACCTCCACTGTTGCACTCTAGCAGCCACCAAGATGGCCACGATTCATCATTTTTTAGGCAGAGCTGTCGACCAAACTGCGGTCCAGAGAGCTCCCCGTCGTCAGCGACCTGCAACAGTAACTAGCCAGATGCTCATAAGAGACCACTAACTCATACCAGGCTAACCTACTACATCAGAACTAGAGCACTAACTACAAACCACTGACAAACCAACCACATCTGCTAATTTACAATAACATCATCCAGACCTAATCAGCTGTAATATAACCAATGACTGTGTTAATCAAACCCCGGCTGTCCAAATGACTGGTCAAAGTGTTTCTGCTGTACCTGTCTGTGTTTGTTCGCCTCTCGTAATAATCCTATCCATCCATCCATCTATCCATCTATCTATCTATCTATCTATCTATCTATCTATCTATCTATCTATCTATCTATCTATCTATCTATCTATCCTATCATCTATCCATCTATCCATCTATCCATCTATCCATCTATCCATCTATCCATCTATCCATCTATCCATCTATCCATCTATCCATCTATCCATCTATCCATCTATCCATCTATCCATCTATCCATCTATCCATCTATCCATCTATCCATCTATCCATCTATCCATCTATCCATCTATCCATCTATCCATCTATCCATCTATCCATCTATCCATCTATCCATCTATCCATCTATCCATCTATCCATCTATCCATCTATCTATCTATCTATCTATCTATCTATCTATCTATCTATCTATTGTATATCTATCTATTGTATATCTGTTTATTTGTGTCTTGCTAACACTTACAACCATTCACAATTATTGATCTGATGTTCATTTTTACCTGTCAAATCAATACTTCACCAACAAAATGACCATTGTTACTTTAATTACCCTGTTGTACCTTGAATTCTTGAAGAACATTTTGTTTTTCTCACCTCCCCAAAAGTGATTATTTTTGTATTTCTCAGATTTAAAGGTGGGGTAGGTAATTTTGGAGAAACCAGCTCGAGTGTGCTAGAAATTTGAAAATACACAGCCGGAAAAAATCTGCCACTTCCTTACAGAGCCCCTCCTCCAACACACACGAACGCGCACATGACCAATGAGGGCACGAGATAAGTTTGTGCACAGATGGAAGGCTGACAGGCAGGTAGGCCATCCAGTTATTTTAGCCGGGCCGGCTAAAATGATTGGTCGTGCTTTTTACAGTACTACGGCTTCCACAGATGACATTTTTTATGGATTTTTTGTCAAAGCACTTAAGATATTCATTGCTATCGGGATGTTAAGAGCATTCCATGGAATATAACAAAAAGTGTATCTCGAGCCGGTTTCTCAAACTTACCTACCCCACCTTTAAGTGAGCATTCTGAGAAAAAGTCAAAATTCGAGAAGGAAGTCAGAATCACATGTGGCTCTAATCCTATTTCGTACTGTTCGCTATGGAGACATGTGACAATAAACTGTTTTCTTCAAGAATTCAGGGTAACACAAAGTGGGTCATTAATATACAAATGGTCATTGTGTGGGTCAACTATTCCTTTTAACTGTTTCTACATTACTTATTTTACTATTCAGCTTGATTGTAACCCATACATGTTTTGCTTCTTTTGTTTTTTCTTTGTTGTCTAATTGTTTCCCACTTTCTCCCCGTGGTTGTCTTCTCTCCCGACATATTTCCCTGTGTCCCCCACCACCCTCCCTCTACCCCCTCTACCCCCCCTCTCCTCCCTGTCCTCCCTGTCTTCAGTACACCTCTAGTATGAGAGCAAAGTACCTGGCCACCAACCGACCCGACCAGAACCGACGCTCCGTCCCCAACGACCAGCTGGACCCGGGCAGCCGGCCCCACCCCACCGCCCGACCCCAGTCCTCGGTCCACTAGAGACCAGAACCACCCGGTACTGCCTATCTCCAGTTTCACAGCCAATAACAAGGTCCAACTCATCAGAATAACAAGAAAGAGCCCTCGGCGACAAACCACAAGCTGCTCGTTCCACCACTGCTGTGATGGATGAGCCTACATTACCCACAATGCACAGCAACTGAAGCGCCTTGGCAGTTTCTTCTTCTACTTTTCAATTCTCTCCCCCCTTCTACTGGGATCCGTTTACTGCCCTCCAGTGGAGACCGCTCCCACCTTATTGAGACACTTTCACATTCAGACCACACACACACACACACACACACACACACACACACACACACACACACACACACACACACACACACACACACACACACACACACACACACACACACACACACACACACACACACACCCACAAACCCTGTACAGACCTGTAAATAGTAAACGTGTGCTTTACTCTGATCTCATGAGAAGTAGAATCATTACTGGTAACGTGGTGTGCTGCGTGTTTATCATGGACATTTTAGCTGTATCTTTCTCGAACACCCACACACACACACACACACACACACACACACACGCTTAATAGAAGCACACATCTGTATAAATAATAAACCAGTGAAATAGAAAGCCATGTTGATGTAGAACCAGTACCACCACTTTCTCTTTCGCCTAACATTATCATCTAGCTAAGACTTGAATCATGAGCTCGAAAAGTCTCTCTCCGGATGTGTCTACGTGCAAAAGCAGTACACGTGTCGAGCAATGCATTATGAACATGAGCCAGGAAACGCTGTTGTGGAGCGAGAGACACACGAAGGCTCAACCTGTGCCAAAAAACTCTGAATAACGAGGGATGCCTTCATTCTGTCCTGTTCTCCTCCTGCCTCCTTATGTCTCAAATAAGAGGAGAAAACGTGGAATGTTTTCCCTCCGACTGTAAATACAAAAAGGGACAGGAAAGACACTTGAAAAAGAAAGACGATGGACAGAAATGGAATAAATCTCACTGAAGAAATATTGCGACTACACATTTGCCAGGTGCTAATAAGTACGCCAGTCGACGATCGGGACTGAGGAGCGACGGAAACCTTTTTTATTACTTTAATGTTTTCTTTTAATTCAGGGATAACATAGGGAAAAAGAGCAGTCAAATGAAAACAGCTTTCCATTATGACTGAATGGAAATGGTGTCGTGGATCCTGAAAATCATGTCCCTGATTATTAATGTTACATCAAAGTGTTACAAATTGAAGGAAAGTGGGTGTTTTTTTAATGTTTAATCATAAGCTGAATTCAGGATGTGATACTGTGACCAAGTCGTGTTCTGTCTTTTCTTTCTTCCTGTGCTTTTATTTTGTTAACTGGTGACCTTGGACTGACCTCTTTGTCAACAGTAGTCTTATTTTTTTAAACCCACAAGCACAAATTCTCTTCAAGGTGACTTTGCGAGCTGGAGAAGTAAAACGCACTGCCAGTGGTTTTCCCTCCCGCTCTAAAACTCTGTAGTGTATAAAAACTGTATTTGTGAAGCCGTGTGTGTGACATCACTGCTGCGTGATTGGCTGTTGCTCTATCTCAGTGTTGCTGTGTGTAAGTACAGTGGTCAGTGTGTGTGACTGGCATCTAGCCTGAGTCATTTCTACACAGACGCATGCCCTCATACACACACATCGAAACACACACATGCTGTACAGACATTCAAAACACACTTGGTTTCTTAAAAAAAAAAAAATCCATCTTTCCCTACTTTAGTCCTGTTTACGTTCACATGTAGAGCTGTAGTGACTGCACACCCTCCCACAGCTGTGACATCACACTGATTTGCATTATGGGTGATGTAGTTTGTTCAGAGAAACCTGGTAAATAACAGTGAACATTCAAACACTTTTCAACCACCATTCCTGTACAGCATTTTAATATTTTATTATTAATCAATGACCACTTCTCGTATTGGCGAGACAATCTTACATGTGTGATTTTACTAGAAAGAAAAATATCCATGTTATGGTAACAATGCTACCTATGGTCTAGTACTTTACAGTGTTTTTTGCACCATAAATGCAAACAGTGTTAAGATCTGTGGACTAGTCACTGATTAATGGCCTTTCATAATGTTTTTAAACTCTTACAACACTTCATATCACAACATGTTTTTTTATTTTTCTCTTATCTTGTAAAAATCCAACTTTAAAGATAAAATAATAGCTAGCTGTTTTGTAGGAGATTAAAGGCAAGAGCAGCGGTTTTCCTCTCTTATTAATGGTGAATGACTCTCTGTCTTGCAATGTTTTAATAAAACTATTCCAGTGTAATCTGCACACCTGACTTTAAGTTGTATTTGAATTCCTGTGTGAAGCTTTCTGGGATCTAAACACCCGGTCACAGTCTGCTTTTGATGGAGAACAAGGCCCACGCTCATGTGTAAGAGTCAGCGATGTTTGTGTGTTTGTGGTATTTACAGGACTTCAATTACACCTCCTGTCCAGATGTGACAGACAAACAATGTTTTCTATGGCTGTTTTTATTTTCTGATGGTTTAACTAAGATATTAATGATGTACATGTCAAAACTGTGGTAATGATATCATTCAGCCTGGAATAAATGTTTTAAAAAAGAAATTAAAGCAACTTTAACGTACTGATTGAGACTATGGGTTCTTTTTATGAAAGGTGAACGAACAATGGTGTTGTTGTCTTTTCATTGACATCTTAAAGGTCACATGACATGCTTTTCCGGTTATTACCCGTCCCCTTGTGTGTTATGGAGCTTTTTCTGCATGTAAACGGTCTGCAGAGTCAGAAACCCTCAAAGTACACCCTGTAGCGAGTAAAACTCTAACACAGAAAAGACCTGTCTATGCTGCCCCAGAACGCCTCGTTGGAGATTTCTCTTTTTCCATTGTTTGCTTCCTGGGTTCTGTTACGTGTGAATACCCAAATCAACAACAAATGACCGGATTGGCCCAAATGGACCAATCCGCAGAGCACCTCACACACCAGGATCCCTTGGCTAACTAACAGGGAGTCCCCATTGACTTGCATAGAGCTCCCTGAACGCTGGTAATAGACGAGTTGGGATCGCGGAGAAATGCTCTCCGCAGACCCATTCTCACAGCATTTATCAACCTTTTTCTTACTCAATATCAAGCCACACTTATTGTTTTTACTTCGGCTGTGAGTGTTTGTGTGTGCTCAGGATGAGTTTCGCACTGTCCCGCCGACCCGGAAACCTGTCCGCTGAGCCTCGCAACGTCCCGACCAATCAGAGCACACTGGGCTCACAGGGAGGGGGGGGGCAGGAGCTCCAACAAGCCGTTTAGGACAGAGAGTGAATACACATACTATACAGAGATGCTGTATGAGAAACCAATGTGAGTTTGGAACATTGAACAATATAAATCTATTTTAGTATACCTCAACAATGGAAATATGATCAGTAGAAATGGCCATGACATGGGACCTTTAAGTAAAAGCTGGACCTGTCAAGTTTGCAACATTTTAGCTCTAAGATATTTTAAAAAGTTCAAGGTTTTGAAAGATTTCACATTTAAATATTTAAGTACGTTTTTATAGCTAACATTCACATGTTCTACTAATGTTATTATTAGCTCATATGTTGCAAGATGCATTGAATTAAAATGGTTAAGAGGACACATATTGTTCTATATTAATAGCTAAGCCTTACCTACAAAATATTAAATAGAGAGTGAAAGATCGGATAAGAGAAATATCTTAATCTCATCCAATCCTTGTAGTGTTTGTTTCACAATGATAAATGCATTAACACATTAGCAACCTTTTTGAGGTTGTGTTTATTTCACAGCAGCTGTTGGATATAAATATGTGAGAACATCTGCATGATGAGTTTTATTCATTAGTTTATTGTCTTTTCTTCACTGCCTTAGGATGCTCATAATTTAATAATAGTAGTTTTAACAGATGTCATTAGAAAACAAGTCAAGGTGACTCAATGCAGATATATTTTAGACACCTTAACTCAGAACATTTACTCCTTAGCCTCTGCTTTTATATTTTAAAATGTAATAAGATACAAGGCCAAATAGGAAAGCTTTATAATGTACTTCCAGCTCACGGAAAGATATATGCTCAGAAGAACGTCAGCCCTATTATGTTATTGGGGTTTTCCCTTTCCTGTATAGTGTTATGTCATTTTGTGTGCATGTTAATGGTCTGTAAAGCTAAATTCCCAAACTCCCTCCCTCCAGAGTTTCTCTCCCACATTCTGGCTCTGGTTTCAAACATAGGGTGAAAAGAGGTGTGGCAGCACAGGCAGTATGAGAGAAATAAAGACAGTTTGAACATTAAAGCATGTTAATATATCAGAGAAGCGGCACAAGATACAATTATGAACCTGAAAATTAGCATAATATGTCCTCTTTAAGAAACACGTGCTATCTGTTTGCAGTAACAAAGGCATCCAGCAGGTGTCACTCACGAGCAGATCACAGATTCACTTCTGTGTGTTACTGTTTGTCTCCCTTGGGTCTGCAGCCTGACATTGCTGGGAGAGGAGCCATGAGACACACACAAACAAACACACACACACACACACACACACACACACACCATTAATGTTCTGCTGCTGTTTTGTCTCTCCGGGGTCTTGTGTATGGCTGCATCAGATAAGAGGCTGTGTTTGTGGGGTTATAGATGCAGAGGGGTGGGGGTCTCCAGACAGGAACCCACCAGCACATAAACAAGGTCAGAGGTGAAAGGTGGGAGGAGGGCCCATTACAACCCCATTAAAAACTCACCCAAAGTGCAGAAAATCACAGAAACATATCAAAAGAAAACGGTTTTTATTCCATGTCTACACACAGTCCAGATACTGGAGGTAGCATGTACGCTTCAGAAGCAACGGTTCATCATATACATTCATTTTACACGGGACTGAATTAAATTGAACAACTTTCATTCAGTTAAACAACTGCTTTCAAAGCACAGAAAGATAAAACACGACCCAACATGAGTCATTCGGGACATATTTGTTACACTGCTACTGTGTAAAAAGCATCATTAATGATCATAATTCAGCTATTGAAATGGATAAAGGCAGTTAAAAGCATTATTTGTAACAGAGGCCTCACCAAATGAGTTAATATATGAACTTCAGAGGTTTGTTAAATTGGAGAAATACTATCATTTGCTTTCATGCGAAGAGTTAAATGCAAAGATCTCCTTTTATTTTTGTGTCTGTATTAAAAATATGTAGCTTAAACCAGGAGTTAGCTTAGCTTAGCATAAAGACAGGAGGAAACCGTTAGCCTGTTTTTTTCTGAGGGTAAACAAATATGTTTACTATCAGCTCTAAAGCTCACATGACCATGTTATCCAACCCTCTTGTGAAAACAAATGAGCATATTCCCTCAAATTAATTGAAGATAAGCAGAAATAAGACGGCGTAATGACAGTCATGATGATATACTTCAGAGAAAAGATAATACTGAATACGGGAAGGATAAGCGTCAGATAAAACCATCAACATTTCCCAGATGCTTTTAGCCTCATTAGGCTGAAAAATAACAAATCATTGTTCCTTCATGTATTACATTACAAACTGATAACACTTGAGCATGTGAGGAGAACAGAGAGTGGGCAAGTAACATATTATTTTACCATGGAAATGTGTGAAAAAGCAGAAAAAAGCTTAATTCAACAGCAGTCAATTGATATAATGTCAATCTGTTGGATCATTTGTTGGTTCAGACTGATATATCTGACCTTTAGTCTCTTGCTCTTGTTACAATTTGTGGCCCTTTGACACCCAACAACAGTCCACAGAGTCAGAGTTCAGGTGTCAAACTAATAAAATGGCAGGCCCTCGTAAAAAAAAAGTCTGTTTCCCAGACTGCTGTTGGACGTGAGAGATTCTTCCTCCCTGGTGAGCCAGAGGAGGGCAGCAGTGAGACTCCTCTCTGAATTCCTGTCTGAGAGGATGTCTGCAATGATTTCCTCCTCCTTGAGTGAAAAATTGAGTTACACCAGAGATGTATTTGTCCTCCTCCAGCAGTCAGTGTGTCTCTGGGTGGGGGTTAGAGTCACCGAGGGCGGGGGCACCAAGCAGTGTCTGGGTACAGCAGACAATGGACCGACCTGAACCTGAGAATGAGAGGGAAATGAGTGTCACAATGCCTGGAAGCCGCCAACTGCAGATTTCAAAATAAGACTGTGAATACAATTAGCCGTGTGCATGCTATCATACACACACAATGAACAAAGCCAGGAAGCTTGTCATAGTAGTAAAACATACACAACCAGATCGCTTACATAATGGAGAACACATGTTTTAAAACTAAAGAGTTTCCTGACACTGGGTTTTGTCGATAAACATAAGGTTTTTGATGGATTTGATTCTTTTTCGATTAACCCGTCCATCAATACGTCAACAGCTTTATCTTATTATCTCGAGGTCTTATATCCACCATCTGTGTCAGAAGTAATGACAATCAGCCCAATTCAATACACAATGATACCATTACTGACAAGAGGAAAAGAAAGGGGAAGAAAGAAGGGAAGCCGGACAAATAAAAAATAAACACTCTTAATGTCGGGAAGTTTAAAGATAAGATCGGTTTGTGTTTTATCCTTTCCATTGTTGGTTGCCTCTAATGTCAATGTTGTTCCTCTCAGTGTTCAGCGAGCAAGCCGTCTTTTGTGTTAGACTGACCATCACAGACTGACCATCACAGACTGACCTTTACAGACTGACCATCACAGACTGACCTTTACAGGCTAAAACGTTATATTTGCCATCAAAAATAATTTAGCGTGGGTCTGTTTAAAAGTCAAAAAATTGGGACACTTCCTCAGGAGAATAATCACAAATAGAGCTGAACAATTAATTTATAAATTGTTACGTTGATTGACAGAAGCAATTTTGAAAATCAACTTAATAGGCAAAAATACAAATTAATTTCCAGCTTCTCAATTGTGAGGACTTCCTGTTTTTCTTAATATTGCATTTTAGTCGTACAAAACAAGCAATTTGAAACCATCGCCTGGTTTATATAGTCACATTTCCCCAATTTTCTTACAACTTATAGACCAACAAAAATATGAAATGAATCATGAAGTGACTGTAAGGTGTTTGTGCTGCACCATTTACTGATATTTTACCTTGTAGGATCTTCATTTATAGAAAACGGTCCGTTCACATTGACTGTGTTTCTGCTGTTTTCCACTGTGCCGTAGCTGAGAGTCACCTGGAGAGGAAAACAGACACAAGCTGTTAGACAGTCTGCTGATAGGCCAGTATGTTAGTGTGAGGGTGTGTGTGTGTGGGTGTGTGTGTTTCCTTTATTATAATCACACAAATTCTGTGTTTTGTATTTAATAATTGTGTGTTCTTCATTTATTAAAACGTTAAATACCTGACTAGGTCTGAGTCAGTGTGAGGGAAAACTAATATAATAACGACTGATTTGTTATCTGTTGTCAGCCAGTGAATAAACGGAGATCGGTTCAACTGCTGGCTCGGGTCTCATCCTTCAACAAAACACAACGCAGACACGGCTAATCGACGGCGGTCACATGTGTACCTGGTTGTGTATGTCTGACACCAGCCCCAGGTTCTCCAGGTGAGAGTGGAACAGCGCTGAGCGGAGCAGGCGGACCCCCAGCA